CTAGCAGAGATGGCGTTTACTCCCGCTAGTCACTAACAATCCGACATCATGGTGAATCCTATTTGAAGCTAGTGTAGGATCTTGTGCCGGCCGGCTTATCGCTCTGCCAGAGGGGGTGTGTCGTGGGGAGGGAGATACAGGTTCGGGGGGGAGTTATCGTGGAGCACAGAGGGGAGAGGTTTGTGTGTGTGTGTGGGGGGGGTGGGACGCTTTTTTCCAATCTGCCTCAACGGCTCAGTTTTTTTCAACTGCCTCTCAGATCGTCAACTAGGACTTTAAGTTGGACACAGCATGTTGTATCAGGATCCATTTAAAGGAAAAATAAAATACAGTTTCTCATCCTTGTCCTATTAATGATCAAACTGATCTTTTTGGCCTCCAGGCAGGAAGTATCGCTAATCCCGCCCTACTGACTTAGCACTTGTCACTCATCCTGATGAGTTGAGGATGACATCTTGCCTGGGGCTGAGATGATCAGCATCCATGACCACACAGCAGCAGCAGCAGCAGCAGAGGCAGGAGGAGCAGACGGAGGAAATTACATCTGCGGTACAGCATGGAGTTCCTGTTATAATGGCTGCATGCTTAATTTAGCTTTCCGATTCAGATTCCAGCTTTACATTCGAATGTGTATCCTGTAATATTTAATACAATGTTGTCCTGCTACATATCTTCCAGCATCAGGAACATCAGAGGAACATTTGAACGAGGATTCCTTTGTTCCTGCAGCTCTACAACGCCTGCTGGTACATTATTAATGTGAAAAAGTCGCACATCAAAGCTTGAATTTAAAAATAATTGTGCGACACACAAATCTGTCTTACATATATATCGCTTTTTAGTGCATTCCCATTACAAATACACAGACTCTTCTATCTGAATTTATATCTAAAAGCTTAAAATGAAAATAAAATTGGCTTCAACATTCTTCGTTTTTCTATACTAGAGCAAATGTACCTCACAGCCATTTTCTATTTTTTTTTTCACCTGTTGTGTACATCCACGCCTTGAACCTCTTAGGCAAACATCTACTGCAGCAGCTGTAGAAAGCCACAAGGACCCACGCAGCCGTAAATGGCTGCTGCTCATTAAGACACATGACCGTCACCGCCATGGCACCGATTCAGACGCGGCGAGCTTGGATTACAATCTTTTTCAACGCACACCGTCACCGAGGTGTCTGTGTGAATGCTGCCAAGGCCGCCTTCATTCATTAGCACATTCGCTCCCATTCACGCTCCGTCTTTTTGTTCACTCGTTTCTTGCCCTTCTGCCCCCTTTTTCAGTCGGAGTCAATGCGTCTTAATGGCGTGGCTTTTACAGTTAATGAACATTATTGGTAAAACATCTAAATGCTAACGGAAAAAGTCAGAGCAATTATCGGATATAATGACTAAACAGAACAGTAAATAGGTGGATTGAAACATTAGCCTTGTTCACACCTTCATGAATCTAATATCCTTTGTACAAATATACTTTAAAATGCGTCTGCGGTTGTCAGAGCAGGAATACGTCAACACATATCTGAATCCCACAACCTTCAGCATCAGAACCACTCTGAAGTGTTCGCTGCGTGATCTGGTAAAATTTGATAAGTGATTCAGGAGATCAAATTTAATGAAATCACACAGATTCTTGTCCTCACTCCACCTAGATATGCGAGTGATGAGCCTCTGGAGGGTGCAGCCGCATTTCCCCCTCATTTCCATCCATTAAATCAGTGCGTTTCTGGTTTTGGTCAAGTATCAGCTCTGAGAGATGAAGCAGAGTCTTCTGTTTTTGTCCAAGGCTACTTGCGAGGGCAGAGATGGAGAAAAAGATTTCGTAAACATCTCATGTTTCAAAATAAAAGTGCCAAAGGGTTTTTAGGGGAATTATTTTGTTCCACTTTTGTGAAAAAAAGCAGTTAATTATCTCCTCATCTCCACCCATGAAGAACAAACAATCAGCCTAAATTTTGGTTTAGCACTGACGTTTTGTCTAAAGGTCAATTCAACAGTTAGTGTGTGAAATATCGGCTTCATTGTCTGTGTAATAATGTTTCACGGCCCTGATTATAAAGCTGGATGTATAGTGTGACGATGAAATTGCATTTCCTTAATGACAGAAATATGAGACACTTCACAGACAGAGGTGCAGAGTATGTGACAGGTATCTTAATGGTTGTGAACATCGTTGCATTTTTAATGAAGCTAATTTCATTACTCTTTCTCTTTTCGTTTTAATCATAATTTACATCACAGCGCAGATGCAGGAGCGCATCCTTTGGCAGAGTTACATTTGAAAACAAAGGAAATTAATAAAAGGCATTCAACACCACTCTCCTCCACATGCTCTGGGTCATAATTTTACTCATTTACAACAGTTGTGGATTCTCAGTTTAAGCTGCATAAGGATACATTTGCTCTGTAGACTCCCACAAACTACACTGCTGTACGTTGTAAAAGTGGGTGAATGAGACCGCATGATAAGTTTGTGACTTCCTATTTTCCATTCATCGGTCTTTAAATCGGACTTGATCAAACCGTAGACTGTACATAGAATGGACTAGTCTCGCCAACTCCTCAGTAAGGAAAGTCGCCAGTGGCGGTTGTTAAGTTTAGATGATGTCATCACCTTATTTGCATAATTTCTCAATCAGTGTGTTTTTGATGCACACCGGCTACCCGTTAAGAAGAGTAACATCGATACCTGCTTTCATGTCCGAGTCTCTAAACTTCAAAAAAGTCGCTAGATTTGTTGCTCGGCGCTGTTTTAAGAATAAGTTGCTTAGGGGGGTCTGAAAAGTCAAGCTAAATCTAGCGACACTAGGTTGGCAACACTGGAATGGACGCCGTCTGCCTCCTCGCTGGATTAAGCCACTTCGAGAACAGCACCCTCTGGTGACGGGCTGCAGTATAGGTCATAAATCCCGCCTCCTCCAGAAATCTTTACGGAGCTGTGGACAAACTTTAGAAATTAATGCTGCGTTTGAGTTACCTTGGAAGTCAGAAGTCGGAGCTGAAAATGACGTCACACCCGAGTTCCCAGTGTTTCAGTTACCAAGTCAGGAAAAAGCAAAATTGGAGGCAGAAACAAGATGGCTACATCTACCAAAGTTATTTCAGCGCTTTCCTTATATTCAGACAAGGCAAGCGCTAAAATGACTCTGTAGTTCATGGACATTTCAGCAAATGTTTTTCTGATTTTGATGCATAGACTGTATATAGAATGGACGCCGTCCTTCTCCTCGCTGAGTGAAGTCACTCTGAGAACAGCACCCTCTGCTGACAGGCCGCGGTATAGCTTATAAATTCCGCCTCCACCAGCAAAGCTTTGGGCTGTGGACAAACTTGTGATGTTGACATGTAGTTATTGTCAGACTGGTTTGTGCTCAAGTCCTCTTTTTCTGTGAAGCTCCGTTTTTAAAAGTTATTAGTAGTTTCATGTTTTCTGTGATTGACACCTGATACAGCCTATTGGCGTTCAGGGATTGTGTAGCTCACCCGGGGGATACGCTGCTTGAGCCGAGCGTCATCACAGCGACTCTTAACGACTCTCCCGCCGAATGCCCACAACGCTACTGCGCAGTGCTGGTTTCAGGAAATGAAGAAAAATCGTGGAGAGAGCTTTTTGGCTTTAAATCCGTATACAGGCGGGAGGCAGAACCAAGTTGTCTATAGTTTATACAGTCTGTGTTTTGATGCAATGAAGACAAAGCGATTTTTTAATGAAATGACATTTTATTGCAATTGTGTCGGGGGAGAACTTGCAAACAACACGTCATCTTCATTGATATCAGTTCACTCCGAAGCAGGCTTTGCCCCCTGGTTGCGCATGCACCTTGTATTGTTTGTACACAAGAAACCCGTCAATTACCAGATACTTTGTCTGGGCATAACTCTGCAGACTCTTTAGTTATCTCCACATCAACAGAGTGTTGTATGCTGAGTTTTAAAACCTTGTGTATAGTTAGGAGTTTCAGAATAACCAAAGTCCAGACCACGTCAGGGCTTTATGGTTCCATGAACAGAAATACAGAAGAGCTACAGTTCCTGGTAGATGTGGCAAATTTTCAGCACTTGTCCCTCTGACTCATTCTTGATTTCCACCACTCAATTTCAATCACAATTTCAGTCACTGGTAAGTTTTTAAAGTTTAAATAAACCATGAGAGTTTTGCCAAAGCTGTCATCTGAAGTCTTTACCCGTCCTAGCCCTGCGATAGACTTAAATGTGTTTTATCATAGGTCTTCAGTCTAGTCTGAGGTGAATCAGGTTGTTCTCATTTGTCTAGTTATATATATTTTTTAAGAGCTACAGCAAAATCTGTCCTTTTTTTACTTCAAAAATCTCCAGTTATATTTTAGAAGAGTTTGTCCTCTAACCTTAAAGTGTACAGGAAGCAGCACATTTTTTCCCACCTCCTATAATGTTGTAAGCTTCTGAAATAGACACAGAGGGGAAAGGTCATGGGCAACAAGTGCTGAGAATTAAGGAGAAGCAGCTGGAGGAACAGGGTTAGGGTTAGTACAGAGCAGATGCAGACTGGGGTCCACTCACTGATATTGATTTCTACTTTTTTGTCAGTTAATTACATTGTTGACCCCTGACATCAGCTATGACCCAATCGACCCTAAACCCACTCTGATAAATATAGACCTGTTTCTTCACCTGTTGGCTTGATTTACTTGATTTGAAATAAAGATTGTCCTCCAGGTGAAAAGTGCCTGACTAGAGATCAGGCACTGTATGGATCCTCTCCTCAGCTTAGCACTGATTTCTATCGATTTAGTGAACCAGCGACGAGTTCAAATCAATGTCGTATTGATGCAGGAGAAGTTGAGTCCTGCTCTGTACATGTAACTGTCACACAGCATTACATTTCCTCCGTGTTCTGCAGTGTGCTCAATTCTCAACAATCTTACGCAATGGAGGTGGTTTGGGACTACACACATGCACGCACTCTCACACAAACGCACACACCGCAGTCTCACGTTAAGGGTTTGTGTCCCTCAGCGCGGTAAAAGGCGCTGCGGGTGATAAAAGCTCACGCGCACCTCGCGCTGCTCCGGTGGCCGTTGGAGAGAGAGGAGCGCACCTCTCTGGACCGGGAGCGCACGGCAGCCGGAGGGGCGGGTCTGTCGTGAAACTTACAGTTGCAGTTTAAACGTTCCTTCATTTGTCAAGTGCTCTCTCGGACCGCGAGGCAGAGCTGGTACTAATTTACACACTAATTGAAAGCTGCCACATGCGCGTGCGGTGCCGCACAGTCCTCCTCTGTGCGCCCTCGCCTCTTCAGATGGGTTGACAGACAGAGCGGCACCGGTACCCGGTGGTCGGTGCAAACTTCGGGGGGCTGGTTCAAACTTTAGCCCGGAATGATCGTTTGCAACGTGAGCGTGAGCTGTGTGCACTGTACCGGGGGAGGAGCTGGCGGCACGGCGGCGACAGCAGCGGCGGCGGCAGTGGACGCGTACGAGCAGGTGCCCGGGTCTCTGCCACCCCCGACCCTGAGCGCAAGGGGGCACCTGGTGGTGGCGGTGTGCCTCGGCTTCATCGGCACCTTTGGCTTTCTCACTAACTTCATCGTGCTCACGCTGTTCTGTCGGTACCGGGCTCTGCGCACGCCCATGAACCTGCTGCTGGTGAGCATCTCCCTCAGCGACCTGCTGGTCAGCATGCTGGGCACCCCGTTCAGCTTCGCGGCCAGCACCCAGGGGCGGTGGCTGATCGGACGCGCTGGGTGCGTTTGGTACGGGTTTGTGAACGCATGTTTGGGTAAGCAGCTGTTTTTTCTTTGTCTTTGGCACGTGTCATAGAGACCCACGACTGAAAGAAGCACGCGCGATGAGAAACGAGACCTCAAAATTTCAACCTGATCTTGTCGTTACTGTTTAAAACTGATATGGGGGAAAGTGGCAGTGTTTAATTCAGTGTTTAATTCATGTTTATAAAAGTGGCTTGCGTCTGAGTACGTTACGCACATTCATCCAAAGCGAAGTAATTTATCCAAAGTTGCAGCATTTCTGAAGCAGCTCATACACGCACGGTTAGAAACAGCTGTCTTAACATGATTAAAACCCCGCTGAGACATTTCAGTCTGAAGTCAATTTCTATTACAATCCTATTATGTGTTGAGGACAGTGTGCCGTTCACTGCCAATAGTACTCTACCACACTGTAAACCTGCAAAATGGCTTTCCCATAAGGAAAAATCAATACGGTAGAGTAATGTCAGGTTTTATAACAGGAGCGGCTCAACAAAACAACCTGTAATAATAGGATTTCTGGTTCTATTACTTAATAAATCTGCTCAGTCTGAGCTCAAATGTAGACTCTCTCTGGTGCACTCAGTTCTGTTGAAAACCTGTGACCTCTTCACCTCTCAGTTTGTGCACAATCACTTTTCACACCACCGGGGATCAATATGTTCGCACCACTGCTGAATGGAAAAGGTCTTAATTCTCTGGCCAACATTTAGTGACCTCTGTTTTACTTAAAGCCCTGTGATTGATGGCACATGTCAGGAAAGAATCAATCTGTCAAATGGGTGAACCACTGAGGTCTAGTTCCGCCTCGGAGACCTCTTCACCTGCTATTTTTGTAACTTTTACTGCTCGGGGTGTTTTTGTTGCTCTGCATTAGTTTCAGGATTTAAAATATGTTCAGCCGCAGAAACCTGTTGTTGAGAATCTATTTGTTTTTGCTCTTCGGAGTCTGAGCTTACTTTAAGGTGTACTAAAATGTCACTGTTGTTGCTCCTAAATCAGCTGTTTTTTCCCGGGAGTTTGGACTTGTGGAGCTCTGAGGTGCAGTTAGGTGGTCTCGACTTTAAATCAGGTGTTTCCTCTTTGGACTCGGGCTGCAGGATGTTGTCGGTGTTGCTGTTAAATCTCTTGTTTCCTCTTAAGAGTTTGGACTTGCTGGAATCCATTGCTGGTTTTAAATCAGTGTGGTAAGGGGTCTAAGTGAAGTTATTGCACTGTCTGGACTTGAATTCAGGGAGCTTTAAAAAACTGCTGCTCTACAGTCTGTGTTTTTGTCTTTGTGGATATGAAGTTAAAATGAAAGTTGTCTTGCACTTGAACTGCTTATATCCTCTAAGTCGTTGCTTTAAAATCTTTGGTTTTCTCAATGAAGTTTGGTCTTGAAGAAATGCTTTACCCAATTAAAGGGATATTCCGGCATAAAAGTCTTGGTCTGATTGCATGTCCATGAAGAAATGATCATAAATGTTCTTCCTTGAGCTGCGTCACCCCGCTGTAGTCTGTAATGGATTGTCTTGAGGTCTCGCTAAAAAACAAACGGCTTCTGGAAGAGAGTAGGTGAGTTGTGTTTAGTCTCTTTGCTAAAGAAATTAAGCAAAGTTAAAAAGATGTTTGGTGGCTAGGACCCTATATGTCCTGTTGATGAAGTTAGCTGCTGTTCTGAGCATTATTTCTGGCTATAGAGTGGCGTTTTGGTTGAGGCTTGTTTATGGCACCTCAGACCGCTGTGTATTGCTATCGTGCGGTCGTTACTAAAGTTGGTATAACTGGAGAAGCAAGCAGTCAGCAACATTCATCTCTCGAGGAAGTGTCTAACTCATTGTTAAGGTGCGTTTGACCCGGAATATCCCTTTAAAGCTCCTGTGAGGAGCTTTAAAACATTTAAGAAATACACTGAAATTCATATTGATGCCTTTCTATGATATCCTAAAGAAAACAATGATGAATTTGACTGTTTTTACATCGCAGTTTTAATGCCTGAAGCTGGTGTGAAAGATGCTCCCAGTTGTTGGATTTTGGGTGGCCTTACAATCTCCTGTGGTAAATAAAGCAACCTTAACGCAAGATGTTAAAAATGTCAATTTAAAAGCACCGCAAACAACCAGTTTATGAGGCAATCTCCTCTTTTGGCAAGACAAGAGAAGAGATTATAGATCACTGTCCAGCAATAAGGCATTTCAGCGTGCTTCACATAAGGTCAACACGAACAGCATGACTTGTACTGACCCTTAACACTGTGGGGCTGCCAGCGCCGGACAAGTCTTAATGGAGAAAATGGAGGATGAAGATAAGGCGCCGAAGAACAGCGAGGCATTGATGCTTTTAGACTGTAAACAAGGTCATTTAAAGCTCCTGTAGGGAATTTCAAAAAAAATATGAAAAAAACTGAAATCAATGATCTCTTTATGACCCTAGATTTGTAAACAAGACCAAAAACAAGAAGTGCATTTACTTTTGAGCAGTTATTTTTAATGCCTGCTTTGGCGCCAGAATCCACACAAACAAAGGTTCCTTACAGTGTCTTTAAAGGCTCTGTTTACTTAAGTTGATATCAATGGTTGATGTAAGTTTTAAGAACAGTTAAAGCTACTGTGAGGTTTTCCTTTTTAGCTTTATAAAGGAGACAAAAATTCAAATTGATGCCTTTTATGATAAACAAAAGCAAACAACGACAACATTAGTAACAAGACTGATGGTTTTTAAATCATATTCTAGTATGAGGGGGTAGGTGTCAGCCTAGCAGCTAAAGGAAGCCCTGTTTTCACACATTTTGTTTGTCAGAAGATGAGCATGTAGAGGACAAGATAAACAGTGACTGCTTTCACCACAGGGGGCGCCAAAGTTGACACAAACCAAAAATTGCTCACAGGAGCTTTAAAGTATGACTTAATTTGGCATTGCTGTACGTAAAATTTGTTGTCTGTCTGGACTCTAAGTAACATGTCGTAAGATATCACCGGTCTGAAGTCAGTCATTTAACCACAAATCTTTGGGTCATTAGCTTTGATGCCCTCTTTGATTTCTCTGTGGAGTTTCGTTTTTAGGAGTCTATTCATGCTTTTAAAAAGTCCTCTTCTCTCTGATGTTTGGTGTTATTAGTCTTTAATCAGTTGTTTTCAATCTTCAGTCTGGACTCACTTTAATTTATTCCAAATTTAAATGTTTATTGGCATATTAGAGGAAAAAACAATTTCACCAAAGCATCCAGGTACAAATAAATCAAAGGTTGTTGCTCATTAATCAGTTGTTTCTCTCTGGAGTCCTGACTGTGTCTGTTGTTGTTGACGAATCGATGTTTCCCTCTCTAAAATCTAGACTCTGTAATGTTTTAATAAAATGAACAATCAGTTTTGGCATAAAAGTTTTCTAAACTTTTCCCTTAAGTACCAAAGAACAAATTGGTCAGGTGTTGCCAGCGCTTGACAAAGAAGCTGTTTACTCTCTGGAGTCTGTAGCTGTGATGGGTTGTTGCTCTCAACTCATTTTTCTTTTCTCTCCAGAGAGTCTGGACTAGCAGTACAGTACACCAAAGTGTTGTTGTTGCTCTTAAATAAGATGTTTCCTCTCCGGAGTCTACATCGACAGTTAAGTGCAGTAAGGTGTCGTCGGTGTTGCTGTTAAATCTCTTGTTCTCTCTACAGGATTCAGACTTACGAGAATCTGTCGTTGCCTTTAAATCAGAACTTTTTCCTGCTGTAGTCTGGAGTTCAGATCAGGTGATCCTTTTTTGCTGAAATGAGGTGTTTCTTTTGGAGTTTGGACTTGTGAAAGAACAGTGAGGTGTTAGTGCTCTTTCCCCTGAGTCTGGGCTGAAAGGAAGGTGCTGTTGCTCTAATATTGGACTCTGTCTCATGAGTATAACAGTGCGGTAGGGTTTGGTTCGCCATCATCCATCAGCTCATTTATGTTAGTCATCACAACCAGTGTTTCCCCTAAATTCATTCGCCGCTGCTGAATCACGTGCGCCACTACTGTAATTTCACATTCTCATAAATATCAATGCGCCGCTAATGATTTCTACTTGCAATGTGTGAGCACAACAACACACAACGTTATTTCCGACTTGTTTTGAGTCATCAACGAGCGCATCAAATCCTGTCGGACCCTTTTCTATAAATGTGAAGGGTGATGTTCAAGCTAAACACGGTCTATATAACGAGAAGTGCAGGTAACGTAGCGTAACGTGAACGTAACATATGCTCGCTCTGTCCCCTCTGCTTTACTAACACACACCAGCTCTCTAACTGCGGTCACATGATGATTTTAGCGGCTGTGGTGCAACATGTCGAAGATACACTAGGAATCATGGATCACAGAAAACTTGGGCAAGATCATACAGCCTTTGTTTCTGTGGAAAGTGTCTGAATTTGATCTTTTACTGGACTTGGTGTCAAACTAGAAGTTTTTGTCAGTTTTTCCCATGGCATATGGATTTACAGTGGCCGCTACCCCTCCTCAGACCACTTTGACCTGGATTGTTTTCTATCTTCCCTCATCAAATTGAGGATTCTGACTAAATCCCCTTCTAACCCCACTGTGCAGCTACTGATGGCATGAACAGCCTCCCAATATAACCATGTATGCCAGACTCACATCTTCCAAAAAGCTGACGTTTACTCTGTGATGAGTCATGAGTTATATCTCATTTGCAGTTAATCCACGACTTGCAAACTTTTCATGGTTAACTTTCCACTTTCAAGAGCGTTGAATGTTCAGAAGCGGCTGCAGACTAAACAAGTAACAATCAATAACATCAAATAAGTGTGAGCGAGAAGATTTGAGGCCTCACTGTTCAAAGAGACCTGAATGAGAAAAGATTGGATTCTGAAGCGGGGCTGGTCATTGGCTCGCTGAAACGACCGGAGAGCAGAGATGGGAACCCGAGCATCAAAGATTCATGTGAGTAGTGAATGATTGATGACGGTTTGGTCAGGACTGATCAGATAGAGGAAGGACAGGAAGAAATTCAGGCCAGTTTGAAAATTTCCAGAAATAACCCAAAGGGTCAAGTTATTTCAGCTTGTGTTCTGGCTGACGGAAAGCTTCAAAGCTGTGAAAGAACATTATGTACAGGTGTGTACAAAAGCTACGATGTACTGAACTAGTAAAATACTTCAATAAACATTTTTTTGTGATTGTTTGCTGTTTTGTCTTTGTGGGCCTAAAGCCAGGATTTCAGTTTTATCTTTGTTATGTTGTAGAAAATGTTGTGATTTCCAGTGTCTGAGTTCATCCGTGCAGTTGACCCGGTTCTTGGCTCGACTGAGATTTTCAGAGTGAAAGTGAGACGAGTGGGAGGACATGTTGTAGTTCTGTACAACAACACCAAGAGGGAGCATGAGAATACAGAAGAATAGAGGACCAAGTACTGAACCTTGTGGCATCCCACAGTGAATCTTCAACATGCACTACAGCAGTGCAAACTATCATGCAGCCACAGGTGGAGAGAGGAGAGCAGGGAGAGCAGCAGGAGGAGGCAGGAGTGTGTGTTTGAAGAGCCAGGGGACGGAGGTGGTGTAGGCAGGAATCCGTTAAAGAAGCATCTTTTCTCGTGGTGTATAAACAAAAAAGCTTTTAATGTCAGTCAATAGCTATTAGTCATTGATGACATTTGGTAATATAATGATATCGCTGTGTTTCGTTATGTCTGCGTCGTCAACATTTTACATTTTTGAGCAGCCCGCTCTTTCTGACTGTAAACAAAGCCGTTCTCTGCCTCCCCCTGACCTGATTGGTTGTGAGGCATGGTCCACGTTCTTGAATAACGTTCAGGAGCCCAAACAAAGTTAGCGTGCTACAATATTGGACAGTAGAAACCAACCAGAAAGTTCGGAAAATTGTCCGAATCCTCTTTTGGCCACGACTGCCGACACAAGCAAGAAAACAAAGTAAATAGCGGAGACTTTGGCGGAATAACGGGCGCTCAAAAAGGAGGTAGACTGGACAAGAGCTAAAAAGCCGGGTCAACATCAATGCAGCATTTGAGGGACGCTTCAGGATCTTGGTGACCCTGTAACCTTTCTGCTGGACAGGTAAACCTCTTTAAGAAAGTAAGACAAGTGTCTGTAACAGAAGTGTTTCTTGTCAAACGGACCTGCTGTAGCGTGTTGTAGCGCCGCTAAACTGTCCTCCCTCGGGTCCTGGACTATGTCACTTTATCCTAGTTGTAGAAGTCCTGCAAACATTGTGTTTGCTGGTAGTCTGTTGGCATCTACAGTAGCACCAATGCTGTTTACTTTCACCTTGACTGGGCCCCATTTGTAATGATCTGAAGTATTTATCTGCATTATATCGGAATTTAATTGAAACGATACGATCGAGCAGGAGCGTCTGTTTGTGGGCGGGGCTTGTTGGAGCAGAGAGGGAGGGGAGAGGAGGAGCTGAGGGGAAAAGTGGTTTGGAGGGGTCGAGTTTACATTCAAGATTTCTCCTAAAAACTGGAACTAACTCAGATCCTGCCTACCCCACCTTTAACGAGCTAACATTAGCCGAGCTAAACAGTCCCAAATGTAATCTTAATCCTTCGTGTTATAAAGATGCAGGCTTGAAAAGGCTGAATGATATGTTGAAACTGTAGCCTGTTATAAAATTTAAGTAAAAGAGAGGCTCTAATTCACAAGTTTTTAATAACAGGCTGTGAAATCTACAGATGCGGTTAGCACAGCATGCATTAGTCAAGACCACAAGCTTTGTTTGCATACTCCCCCCGCTCTTCTAGCTGCACCATCACTGTAAGAGACCTCACTGATATGATATAGAAGAGTGATGGGAGTGTTGAATGTGATCCTTGTGTGTTGAACCCTGCAGAGTCTGAACTGTAAATAATTGCCGCCTGAGGAGGAGTTTTAACTTGTGCTGCTTTGCCTCTTCAGAGTGCATATTTTAGCAATGGTGTATTTGTGAGAGTATTAAATCGCAATAAGTTAGCAATTTTCTATTCTTCACAGTGCTCTCCTTTCTTTTCAAAAACTTGGTGACAGCAAAAATAATACAAACTAAAATGGTTAAGTGCACTCAGTAAATTTTCTGTTCAGTGTCTGATTATGACTTGTAATCAAATAAACCCCAGGCTAGGAGTGATTTTGACGTGCTACAGCGCTTCAATCAGGACTTTTGTGAAAACTTAAATGATCTATTCAAGGTCCCTGCTGTGTCAAATCCCAAAGGTCAAGTCCCTGCGAAGTTAAATGAGTACTTTTATGCCACACAGAATTCATCTTGATAATTTTTGTCACAGTTAGGCTCCCGAAAGTGCAAAACGCTTCAAGTTATCCGCGATGGGAGACTGTTTGTTCCCACGAATTTGTATTGTAAAATTTTGTGCCAAAGATGTTCTATAACTTATTTTTTAACTATCCTATATCAAAAGAATGGTATAATATTACAGACACAATTAAAAGCAGCTGCACAGTGTAGTTTTTAACAGGTTTTCTCAGTCATGGGGTCACAATCAGGAATTTAAGAAAACAGTACTGGACTATTGAGTGAATACATGCGCTGAAACGATGATTGGAAAGTCTAAATTCAAGAATAAAAATAACCCGCAGAAGTCGTTGGTGACTTTGGGCTATTTAGTTACAGACGATGGGACCATAGCTGGCAAGTATCCTGTCTTTGGCAGGAAACTACCATATTTTACCTCTCTTTCCCACTGTCTTCCCGTATTACTATTCCCCTGTAAATCTCTCGTATTATAATATGTGTGTATAAAAAAACATTATTCTGCTTCTCCAAACTGAACTCTGTCACTAGGGCGCACTAAGTACCCACCAACTAGTAGGAAGTAGTAAGTTGTCATCTGTGTTTACACAGGTGGAAAATTTCCCTTATTTTCCAAACCCAAACATGACAGGTATGGATGGGACCTTAGAGCTGTCCAAGTTACTGTAAATTTAGCTTGACTACGGGAGTGAAAAATAGCAGGATCACTAACTCTACATGGAGGAAACACATGGAGCTACACACAGCCGCATAGACACTGACTGTTGTGGACTGAGGCGAACAAAATGGAAATGATCACATTATAGAAAAAAAAACGTTTTTCCAGTCCAGATCCCCATTTAGATACTCCAGGGTGACTCATAATCTGGATGTCACAGTACGCAAATGCTGAAGTATAAGTCGATTAAAACTTGCAAGGTACTCGACCAAAATGTTATCAATTTATGTAAAAGTCTGGGAAAATACCAATAAAATGTTCTGCAGAGGACCCAGGACTGAGCCCTGTGGTACACCGTAAAAAAAAGACGATTATTCAGTCCCAGTGTGAAACATTTCTGTCTGCAAGATATTATGAACAATCTAAGAAGAGACTTAAGCCAGGTTGGCATGTGACACAACTTTCCCCACAGCTGAACTTTGACTTTTCAGTAAGAACCCTGATTACTATGTTTGACCCTTCCACCCATCCATCCATACAAATTCTTCTATATCTGACATCTTCCCGTGCTTTACTCTGCTGCTCCTCGGGTTGGTGCTTCAATGTAAATTCATGTTGTCTGAAATGACACATCCAGTCGATAGATTACAACCCAAGCAGCTGGTAATAAGAACAGAGTAGGCTCCACGCTGTTTCATATCTGCGCTCCTTTGACATCTTAAGAACCAGCTGGGTAAGAAACAAAAACACGGGTAGAGAGCTCAATCAATTTTAATTAAGTTGTTCAATTGAATTCATTTAAGTTATTTTTGAAAATTACACCCTTCCTCCTTCACAGCCTGAGGGGAAAGTTTGTGGCAGGTCTGATTGAGACTCCAAAGAGAAAGCTGTAATCAAAGATGGGAACGTTTTTGAGAAAATATATAAAAAAAGAAAATCTTAATTTTACCCCAGATGCCCTACTTTTCACCAGCCTCCTAAAAAAAGCTTCAACTATACAAAGAGCTTCTCAAAAGTGCTTTAATGACTTGTTAATCCCAGCACTTATCGATCAGTATCTCACAGTAACAGAAAAAAACACCTGTTGAGTCTGAAGAGAGAAACGGGACACTGAAACAGATCAAGGTCTTACCCAGGTCATCCAGCGTGAAACAAAAGCAGCTGAAACCTTTTGTTTCAACGTCAGCTCGTCGAAGTTGGAATCCAGTTCATCTGTTAATTCACTAATGAGACATTGTTCGCTTCGCGGCAATTATCCAGACAACATCAGAGCGACTGCGGCGTGCAGTCAGGGACGGTTAGGAAAGAGCGAAATCAAACCTCATCATGTCATTTCGGCTGGAATAAAGTCCTCTTCTCCCTCTCTCATTTACTGCTGCTCTCATTTTAGTTTATTGTGTTTCTTCTTCTTCTTCCGACAGGTGCAAAGAGGTTACATAACAAACTGAGCAAAGTGTTATTACATGCATAATGTAAAACGAGCAGATATGTTACAGGTGTCACCCTCACATGAACCTTCACATGAGCTACAGCCTAATATTGTTTAAGGCGACTGTTTTCCCTGAAGCACAAACAGGTCTGAACTCACTGAATTATTAAAGCTGATAGAAGAAACGGTTTGGATTGAAGTTGTTGTGAATGTAAAGATGAGGAGTTATAATTATAGTCATGATCACATAAATCATATTAATATTATCTGCGCCCTCTTTGACAGTTTGCTCAGTTTCAGGCGATTGCAGTACTTTTCTCTGTTATTGCATTATTAAAAAACTAGATTTGTTGTTAGCAGTTTACGAGGTTACACACGGATTTAAAAGACTGTTATTGTTTATATAAGTGTGTATTTCTCTATCGGATGTTGTAATTTGACTCCTTATGGGTTAATAAAAGATCACACGTTCACAATCACTGGCGGCTAAAATGATTGTGTCACAGCACATTACAGTCACTATACCTGACAGAATGCAGAACCCAAAACTGGATTTGACTCGAGGCGGACAGGCCTGCAGTCTACCAATGTCAGCCAATAATCAGCTCCTTGGGACACAGTGTACTGAAATAAACTGATTTTCTTTTACAATGTATTCCTTTAGTATTAATAATATTCCTTTAAAATGCATAATTGTTGCTTTTTCAAATTGTGCAGTAACTTACAAACAGTAATAGTCGGCTAACTGTTATTTGATGGAAGAAAATCTTGCTAAAGATTTATACTTTTGACCCAAATACTCATAAATATCTGCCTTGTACTTGATTTCTAACTTCAGCTACTGTAACACGGTGACCAAATGCTGCGTTCCAGTTGTACTCGGAAGTCGGAATTTCCGAGCTCTGAGTCGGAAATTCATTAGGAAAGTCAGACGATCCTCACCAACCCTGACTTGACGACAACGTCATAATCCAAGATGGCAGCACAGTGCATCAACAGTAAAGAGTAACAGTGAAAACTCTCGTAATGTATTATCTATTAGCACTTCTGTTTTGTTTTTGTGAAATTAAAGCAGTGGTATTTGTTTTACTGCCCAACGTCTAACTGTGAACACGATGCTATGGTGATCGTAAAAGTAAAATACTGTGTTATGCGTCGTTTACAACTGGTGTAGCTAACAACAACTAACATCCACTGACAATAACTAACAAAAGCTGACAATTGTAAACAACAGCTAACAGCGGCTAACAGTAGGCGTCCATCTTGGTTTTCCAACTTGTTTACTGGAACGCCTTCAACTTGAGTGAAGCGTCATTCCCAGCTCTGACATCCGACTTTTGAGGTAACTGGATCGCAGCGTTATACTTTTGACCCAAATACTCATAAACACCTGCCTTCTACCTGACTTCTGACTTCAGTTACTGGAACACACAGTCCTTGGTGACCCAAGTCCTGTTGGATCCCTCCAGAAAGTAGACGACTACACTCACGTCCACGTTCAGTAGCTGCAACCTGCACAGCTCAGTTCACCGCTCACCAAAGCGCGGTGATGCACAACGTTGGCTGAAGTCTTCGCAGACAAGCAGCAGCAAAATAAAACAACATTTCCCTTTTAATTGTAAGTAAATAAGACAGAGCAAAACCTCTGTTTACAATGAAACTGAGACCAGAAACAGATGAACTGGTGCCACTCAGGGGGGCGTGATAATCCAAGAAGTTCAAGCTTTTCAACTTTTAAAGAAAGTATCGCAAAGAAATGAAGCGTTGACCGATGGTATCACAGGAGTTACTGAAAAGTTTCTCAATGAGGTTGAAGGCTGGGTCAAAAGTCATAATGTTTAATCTAAATTCAGACTCCGTGTGACACTTGCACTCGTAGAAACTTTTGGTAAACTGACGTCTTGAAGGTAAAACATGAACTCCTGCTGACTGAAGAAGGAGTGACTCGTCAAATCTTAAGCCTGTTTGTCTGAGTGATCCTGAGTCAGGTACGGAGCTGATTAGTCGCAGATGTGGGAAGTTTTATTCCCTTTCATCCCACCAGGCTGTTGTTGGAGCCATGTTTCCTTTTGTTTGAAGTTACAGACTCAGAAAAGCATCAATTTGACATCTGAGAGATTATCTTCTTTAACAAATCTAACTTTGAGAAAATCCATGTGTTTGATTTTATACTGTTTTGGTGAGTGTTTCAGACAAGAGTACAATGGTCACTGTCTTACTAGTTCTTGTTCTCCTTGTGAGCTGAAGTGTTGCTGAGTGAGCAGCATCTCTGAGAAATGGTTTCTTTGGCATCAGTTGGACCTGAAACGAGAAAGAAGAGGGGAATAAAGAGGAAGGGGATGACACAAATCTAAAAAGACAGAAGTGGAGGGTGAGGATAAGGGTGAGATGAGATAGAGAGAGAAGGCGCTCTGAAGAAAGGGACAATAAAAGACGATTAGCTCTTGTGCTGACTCAGGCCGACGAGGATACGGGGTCATTCATTTTACCATAAACGTACTGGACTCCACGGCGCAGCTGGGTGAGGACAAATCTGGTCTCAGGTGGAAAAACCATTAAAATGCATACAGGAGAATCAAAGTGGGCCATGTTTGACTCAAAGCCAGCTTTGGGGACAGATACACCCCCCACTGACTCCCCCACCATGCTGAGAGTACAGACTGTGCAGTCCTTACAGGAAATGAATGGAAAAAACGATCGCTGTTAAGAGGAGCTGTTGTGATGCTGAGGAAGCAGAACGTTCATATTCAAGAAATCAATTGAACCAGACGGGAACGGCTGCACTTATTCTGCAGATTTGTTTACTCATAGTTGTTATTTTCCTTTTTGTGTATTGTCCAAATGTTTACTTTTTTTTGATGCAGAAGGGAAAAAAACTGCAGCTAAAACTTTTCAGATGAAGTTTTGAGGTGAGGTTGCCAGAGGTGGGGAAAAGTCCTTATGTTGCAAGTCCAAGTCGAGTCTCAAGTCTTTGCTCTCAAGTCTCGAGTCAAGTCCAAGTCCTGAACTTTTTGTTTCGAGTCCCAACCAAGTCCTTACCATTTCTTTCAAGTCAAAAACAAGTCCTATCAAAGCCATAAACCATTTGTTATATGTAAAGATTTACATCAATCATGAGCATTTTTCACTATTTGCATTTATTATTAAACAAGAGTTCTTGTTTGTGTTGAGTTACTTAGTGCAGCTTTAACCAAACTATTTTACATGCCATACAAAAAAATAATCAGAAAAACTTCAATAATTGGAAAATTAGACAATGTGCACAAAAATAAGGAAGACTCAAATACAATTAAACATTAAACTGATACTCTAATTCACTGTTCCAAAACAAAACAAAAGAGAGACACAAGGAAACACGTGGAAACAGGCGGGCAAAAGTGTTGTCGTTATGAGGGAGGCGAGAGTTTGAGACAGTGTTGCCAAGTTTCATGAGAGAAATAAGGAAACAGACCTCCTGAAACAAGCCAAAAACAAGCATTTTTTTTGTGGGAAATAAGCAGACTTGGCAACACAACACGGTGTTACCAACGGCCGTAATTCCTGACTATTAGAACGGTTTGGGCTTGCTGTAAGGTATTAAGTGACTTGAAAAGACTTGATTTGACTTTTCAAGTCACTGGGCTCAAGTCAAGTCAAGTCAAGTCTCAAGTCTTTAGCAATAAAGTCCCAAGCAAGTCCAAGTCATTTCTTGATTTCATCAAGCAAGTCAAAAACGGGACTCAAGTCCAAGTCGAGTCTCGAGTCGAGTCGTCAAGCCCCCACCTCTGGAGGTTGCTGAGGATATCAACTTTAAAGCTGCTGTGAGGAATTTTTGCTTTGTGTCCACTTTGGCGCCCCCTATGGACAAAGTGATCCCTGTCATCTGTAAATGTGAAAGCCGTAATCTTGGACATTTAAAATCAGACTCAGGATAAAAAGTTCTGGGGTTGCTCCTTATTGTAACCTCTAATAATCTGATTACATGCTTGGCACACGTGTAAATGAGTTTCTCTCCGGCCTAGAGGGCAGACTGATGAAGTCCCTCTGCTTTATCAAGCTGGAGTGCTCCGCTAATGAACGAAAGCCGCTCTCTCACTCCTTCTTCATTTACCTGCAAACACACTCACACATTTGCACACGCAGTTATCAGCAAACACATAATTAACTCCATTATTGGTAAGGCTCTCACTCTTTCCTGACGCTCTCAACGCCGCTCGCACCCACGAACCTCGGCATTCTCCGCGCCGCAGCGAAGGTGTCGGCCAATCGGGCACTTTCATTACACACTGAGGTGCGGTGATTGTCTGTAATCAAATGCTCTGAACCTGAGAGACCCAGAGTTGATGGAGGTGAAGAGCCTCTGGACCGGCACTTTAGGTCCTGTCTGCGCTGATTAGCTCGACAGATTTAGTCACTTCAGGGGTCAGGTTGTTGGTCAGGTTGTTGCGGCAGAAGACCTTCACCCACTGAAAGATGCGGGTTACGAGTTCTGTTTGTGTTTGTGCGCATACATGTTTCAAACAGACGCTGACAGATGACAGTTTAATGATGAAAAGCCAACTCAAGGTCACGACACAAACAGGTGTTTGAACGGGTTAACTAAACCTTCATTTATCCCACGGTGGAGAAATTTGCAAAGCGCTTTAAGGTAAAGTTTTTAATATATGAGAAATTTCTGCTTGATCTTGACGAGAGTTTAAGGATTTTCACATTATGAGCAAGGAAAAGAGTTTCAAGATTTTCAGATGGTTTATTATCAGGCACACTGAGCACATCAATCAAGATACATTTTTATGATAGGGTAGATTTATTTTAGATAAAGTTTTCATTTCATTAGAACAATCACTACGAATAACATTATAACAGTATTTGGAATAAACAAACTTAAAATTCCTCCTTTTTTACCATTTTTCCCCCAATCTCCTGCACCTGTTTTCACATATCTGAGGGTTGTTTTCTGATGAAAAATCTCATCTCCCATTTTTCTTTCTTTCTCTCTTTTTTCTCTCTTTTTTCTTTCTTTCGTTCTTTCTCTCTCTTTCTCTTTCTTTCTTTATTACCTTCTTTCCTCTTTCTTTCTTCTTCTCTATCTTCTTTTTTAATTTTTTAATTTCTTTATTTCTTTGTTTTCTTTGTTTCTTTTTTCTTTGTTCCTTTTTTGTTTTCTTTCTTTCTTTGTTTCTTTTTTCTTTGTTTTCTTTCTTTTTCTTTCTTTTTTCCTCTATCTTTCTTCTTCTCTATCTTCTTTTTTCATTTCTTTCTTTCTTTCTTTTTAAATTTTTTTCTTTCCTTCGTTCTTTCTTTTAAATATATCACTCACTGTCAAAGTTTGCCGTACATAATGTCATTTCATGCTGCTTCTTTTAAATGCTTTCCCTCACTTTGTATCCTAACCCCATAGTGTCGATTGCAGTTGTCATAAATAAGAGTTTGAAAGTAGGACTGCGCAACACTGAGAGAAACTAATGCGATTTTACTCTTTTCTGAACAAACATCGAACATGACGTGCAAATGTTTGGAAAGAGGCAGTCCCACAGGGTTGAGCACCTGCTGCTGCGACACGTTATGGTGGTGCCTCTTCCAACTCTGACCATCTAGTGTGCCCGCCGATTAGTCATTGTTGACGAATATGACCGCTGCTTCGTACAAAGTCGACACACAGCCCAATCTTTTCTTTTATTTTTCCATCTACAGGAACCCAAATTTTCCACGCAGCTTAACTTGGATGCTTTGGTGTCAATATTGTCGGCTCAGCGTGGCTTTGCTTGACCATGTCCCTTATTTTTACTGAGGTCAAGAGTGAATGGATTGGCCAAGTCATGATGAGAGCGCCCTCTGCTGCGACTTAGAGTATCCAGATGTGCTGGTGTCCTGAATTATTATGAGTTCACCACAGTTTGATGTTGAACTTTTCTCCCAAACTTTGAATAAGGATTCAAGTTTCAGATCAAGAGTGACAGCTCAGGACGAGGTCGTCTCAAAATCCGTCTTACATAATCAAGAGTTTTCTGGGTATCTGTGACCTTGCGTGCATGTTTACATTCAGAGCCACACAGACAGAGACACGGCCTGCACTGCAGTCCTCCATGTGTTTTAATGAGAGGCTACATTAGAGAGGTTTCAGACAGACAGTAATTACATTTATTCTGGACCACAAGGACGTGGTGACAGCATGATGTGTTTCAGGTCACATGATCGGCACCGCCTGTCCCTGTATGTGACCGTAATAGAAAATGCATCTCGTCACCGATGGCTTTGTTTTCTCTTGCTGCTCATAAAGAAGCATTAGTATTCGTTCCTAACAGAAGCCCCGGGGGATTTGAATTATCTCTGTTGGATTTCACCAAACAAATGAGACTGTTTTCCAATGCAAATATGATGAACGCCACTTTCGGTTTGCATTTCTTCTGCAACAAAGGAAGATGAAGTTGACCTCTACTCTCAAACAAAACAGGAAAGAAGATAGAGAAGTTTAGATTTATCCGCTGGGCTGAAAAATGAGCTGAAATCTTCTGTATATCCGATAAAAAAACGGTGTTTATTGAGATTGAGAGTCCAGAGAGAGTGCGGAGAGTAGAAGGTCTTTGGGGAAATATGTGAAATTGCTGTTAAATCTGTGACTTCTAGCTGTCTTTCAAACCAAGGTTAGTGTCGTCTCTGTGCGGATGCAGGAAATGTACTCCGGTCTTTGTTTTAATGTGGTTTTCATTTTATCTTGGAGTTAAACACAACAGATGCTCCAATTAAGAGAAAACCTGCTCTTCGTTTCTCCGCTCTACCTCCTAAACTCCAGATATTATTGCTACTTTAAGATACGCCACACTACTTTGTCACACACCTGCTGACCATTTGCTCCTCCTCAGGCATCGTCTCCCTGATCTCCCTCGCCGTTCTGTCCTACGAGCGTTACTGCACCATGATGGCGACCACCATAGCCGACGGCCGAAACTTCCGCCCAGCTCTGGGAGGAATCTGCTTCTCCTGGCTCTACTCGATGGCCTGGACTGTACCGCCACTGCTGGGCTGGAGCCGATACGGGCCAGAGGGTCCCGGCACGACCTGCTCGGTGGACTGGAGGACCCAGACTGCAAACAATATCTCCTACATCATCTGCCTGTTCACCTTTTGCCTGGTCCTGCCATTCTGTGTCATCTTGTACTCCTACGGCAGGCTGCTGCACGCCATCAGACAGGTGGGAAACGTTTGAAAATAAGACTATAAGAAGAAAGTGGGCACGAGTTATTAAAAAATTGCTAACCTAATAAAAACACTGAACTGAGCTGGTCCACTGAGGGTTTCCAAGTTGTCAAGAATATAAGCTCGTGCATTTTTAAAGACGTACCTCTGAAAGCTGAGAAATGAAGTGATCCCTTAGCCTGTGTCAAAAAACCTCCGAGTAGATTTGGCATCTCATCTTTGTGGTCCGTTAAAGCTGTCAACACCAATTTATTCCCCTGTCATCTGCTTTGAACTCTTTGAAAGACTGCAACTAAACAGCTACAGTGAGATTTTTCATATATGACTCAAGCCTCTGCCTATTATCCCAGAGTAACTCACACCTTTATACGAGAGCAATCGCCACCAGAGACACAGAAACAACCTTTATTTATTCTGATGTTATTGCTTATTCGGCCTCTCTGGTGTATTCCTAAAAGTGAAGTTCTCCCCGTATGAACGCCTCATTTAAGAGAAAAAATAAGTTTTAATGGTTGCAGAAGAGGGGAGGATCAAAGTTTTGGAAATATTTTGATGATTCAGTTTGTTTTGCCTGCTTAGAAATAATGCATGCCTTTGTTCAGGTTTGATCTGCAGATCTAGTCCTCCCCTCACCTGGTTTATCCACAAAGTAGATCCAACTTTGGGTTTCGTTTGAAAAAGTTGAGGAGAAAGCCTAAAAGAAACAGTCAGCAACAAAGTCAAATAAAAAAGAGAAAAATTACCTGAATAAGAGTAGAATTTAATCCAGTTTAAGATTGTTCGATGAAGTATTAGGGCCACATGAACAAAAAACATAATTCAAGACTTTGAAATCAAAGTAATCAAGTCACGACATTAAGTCATTACTAATGAGAATAATGTCATAATAAAGTAATCACTTAAGAGGGTAAAGTCAGAATAAAGTCCTCATATTCTAACCTGTTGTTGAAATGAGAGCCATGGAGCACTTTGTAAAAATATGCTTCAATCAACGTTTCTCAATCTTTTGGCACATCAGCATCACATTATCATGAGTGTCATAAAAGTGTTATGACATCTTTATTCTCGTGAGTAATTATATTATTACGACTTCATTCACGTAGGAAATGATTTTATTACGACTTTACTCTCATAAGTAATAACTTTAACACAACTTTATTCTCATAAATAAGTAATGATTTTATTACGTTATTCTTGTGAGTTATAACTTTTTTTTACAACTTTATTCTCGTAAGAAATTACTGCGACATTATTCTGATAAGTAAGCATTTTTTTACGACTTTATTCCTGAAAGTAATGATTTTTTTACAACTTTATTCTTGCCAGTAATGACTTTATTCTTGTAAATAAGTAATGATTTTATTACAACTTCATTCTCGTTAGTAATTACTTTAATACGACTTTATTCGCTTAAATAATTAATGATTTTTTCATTACTTTATTCTTGTTAGTAATTACTTTATTACGACTTTTTTCTTGCTAGTAATGACTTAATTCCTGTAAATAAGTAATGATTTTATTACGACTTTATTTCTGTAAGTGATGATTTTTTTGCAACTCTTTTCTTGCTAGTAATGACCTTATTCTTGTAAATAAGTAATGATTTTATTATGACTTTATTCTTGTAATTACTTAATTACGACTTTATTCTCTTAAATAAGTCATCATTTTTTCATGACTTTATTCTTGTAAATAAGTAATGATTTTATTACGACTTTATTTCTGTAAATGATGATTTTTTTGCAACTTTATTCTTGCTAGTAATGACCTTATTCTTGTAAATAAGTAATGATTTTATTATGACTTCATTCTAGTAAGTAATTACTTTATTACGACTTTATTTTAGTCAGTTATTACTTTATCCTCAAAGTCTTACAGATTTCTCAATGTGGCCCGAATACTCCATCATCAGATTGAGATAAATTACAGTTTTTCTTTTATGTTAAACTTTGTCTAGTTACTTAACAACCTAACTTTTGCCTCTGTTCACCTCTTGTCTCCATTTTCATATACGGCCATTTTGCTTCTATGTGCATTCAGTTACAGTACACACTAAAGCAAAACTCAGCGCTCAGTCAGTGATACAAACACTCTTGTCTCAGAGCTTGAAATAATATGGAAACTTTGCTTCTTGACATTTTAGAAAGTTCCCTCCGTGACAAATTTGATCCCTGTTTTTGAGATCAGAATATCTGTTTTATTGACATTAAAGATTAATGAACCTTTTTACTTCATGGTCAAGATTTAATGACCGTTCATGATTCTCAATGTGATGCATTGAAGCCCATGGCATAAACCTGAATGGGCTGTGTAATGCGTAACTTAAAAAACATCCTACAACTGATCAGATTGAAATGCAACGAGTTAGTGACATTATTGAGCATAATAAGGACATTCAAGAGAGGGTGAGCGTCTCTAAAATAAGGATGCAAGCAGTTTCACCACTTTCCTGACAACAGTGTAAGAAAACACAGAAGTAAAGTGATACCAAAATAATCTCCTTCAGCGTAAAATTGTAAAGAAATTCGACATTTTATCATTTACATTTAGTACATAAAATCTATAAATAGTCTGGAGAAATCTTTGTGCAAAAGGGTCAAGAAAAAAAAATACTGGATGGCTGTTTATCAGCATTCAAAACAGGCGTGACTCTGTGGTGGAAACTGCTGCATAGGCTCAAAATCACTTAGAGAAACACAGTCTGTCACTGCACCCGCAAATGTAGGTTAAAGCTAAATCATGCAAAAAAAAAGGAAACTTTATACTTTATAAAGATGTTTCAGAAATGTTGATGAATTCTCTGGATCTAAGATTGACCAAGAGGTGGAAAACTGTCTCTTACAAATCAATATTTAACATTCTTCTTGGAAATCGTGATTCCTTTACCATCGTATTTTTCACACTATAAGGCGCACCATCAAGAAAGCGTCTATTTTCATACATAAAACGCACCCGTTTATAAGGCGCAATGGATTATAAAGGGCATTAAGCCAAACAAAACAACCAGATAAGTCAAAGTTCATTTAACTCATTCAATAACTCTGCGAGGCTACAGTAGCTGCAGTGCTCCGACAAGCCAAAAGGATTTTAAGTGCACCTTCGAAAAATACGGTATTTCCAATTCAAAGATAAGGTGTAAATGTTTTTGCATACTACCAGACTCTTATTAAATCAACGTTTTACACATTTATCATACTTCTTTGGTCGTGGTAGTTTTGGATTGCTGTGAAATAGATACGAGAAAACAAAGCAGGTGATAGAAAAGTTAAGGTTCTAAACAAACTTTTAAAGTAGTTGACGCTAAAGTTAATCGTGAGGAACTGTTTTTAGAGCTGCAGAGAGACTTCAGCCACAGTCTGGTGTTAATGACATGATAAAATACGACTGTCTTCACCCCACTCTGCTGAGACCATTGATTAAACCTGCAGACCTTCACCCACTCCCAGTTCATCACCGAGAACATAAACTCTTTATTTAGCCGTGTGTTTCTGGAAATGTGGGAGTCTTAATAGTCTACAATTAAACTTAAATTAGGCAGATGGGATTCAGAAGATCGTCATGATGGTATCAGACTCAGTATCTTAAGAATTTGACTTGTACTTTTGTGGGTTCATGTGTGGCATGAGTCTAAGGTCGACCTCATTCTACCTTCAACCATTTCCCTTTTGTGAGTTTCTTGGCAGCTACACGGATGCAGAGTGTCTCTTAAGAATTAGTCTTCCCCTTAACGTTTGGCTGTGCGTCACATTTCCTCTCCTAAATTCGTGTAGGATGCTTAAATGTGTTTGTTCGCGGTCACGAACCCCTCTCTCTGTAAGCTCTGGGTGTTAAGGAGTCGGTGCTGTTTGCACAAGAATTTAATTTGCCACACCATTTGCTGGTTCATGTACCATGCCTCTGTGGGTCTCTGCGGTGCCTGTGAGCGTGCTGAACTTTTGTGTGTTGGTGGAGGGTGTTCTCATGGTGTCATTTCTATCAAATTACAAAAACACACAAAAAAATGTCGGACTCGTTGACTTTTTCCTCGTTCATCAAAAAAGGCCGTCAGCAGACAGGCGGGAATCGAAGGTTGCTGACTTTGGACCTTTTCCCTTTTCTCAATGCGTCTGTCATGGTTATGTTAACACTACTTTTTTCAGATAAAATCCTCAACTCACACCGAGCACAAACCCTAAAACAACAGAAAAAGATCACGCTCAACCAGCCGTACAGTCTTTATCGATGGTGAAGCCGGTCTCCCTGCGCTGCCCTGTGGTTTGGCCTGAAAACAACACATCAACCTTTAGATTAAAAGCCAAATGTCAGACAGATCTTTGTGGTTTTAGAGGTTAATCCCACTGACTTTGGAGACTCGCTGATGTTTTATTCTGCATCACCAGCCTGTTAATTTTTCACTTATCCTATGAAGCATGGTCGTGTTTTCCGGGCGGTCTGGTCAAAGGGAAACGGCACACAACCACCAATCACTACCGAGTCTCTCCTACTGTTCTGACCTAGTTCTTCCTGTAGCTCCAGGATGACGTTTTTGTGTTATTTAATGAGTCGTAAAGAAATCTGGAGCACACACCATGCCCTGCTGGGAATTAACTTTACGGCGATCCTATAAATGTGCATCCAAGGGTCCAAATTTAGACATGAACTTGGTTTTATAAGCAAATCGCTGCATGTGTAAAATGTGAGTCTGCCGGTTCTGCTGTTGCTGTAGGACCAGAACCTTCTGTTTGATGCTAATATCATGCCTCCTTTAGAGAGAGAGAGGTCATGTTGTCAGTGCGTTTAACTTCATCTTTGAATCCAAGAGAGCCTCTAGTTTTCCTTGTTGATTCAAGGAATCAGCTCCTCGGTGTTGATATTGGATGATTTTCTTTGTAAGAGGAGGATGAGCTGATATACTGTGGAGAGCCTCGGCTGTTTGCGCATTGATCAAGGCGGGTCGTGAGAATAAAAATCGATGCATCAGTGCACTGGATGAATCGTTACATCTATCACTTATACAGATGCAACAGCTGTGGACGTGTTTCAACAATGGAGTTTGGAAAATAATCACAAATTTCAAGAGGAATAGGTGAGAGAGGCTTCAAACGCTTCATGACGTGAAAGTGAGAGCTGATGTTTTTAGATCCGACACATCATCACGTCAGAGTTTGTGGTAGCTTTTCTTGCTCTGGTGGTGAGCCTGAGTTCCTCTCGGACCCCTGGTGAAAAGTCAATACTCTCCTCCAGCCCTTCAGCTTGGATTTGCCTCAAGCATAAATGATGAGCAGAGCACAGCTAACTAAAATATAATACTAGTTTGTGGCCACAGGTGAGAAAAATACCATCATTTTTCTAATGTTTGGTGCTTCACGCTCCTCCTTGGAGGTTTCTTAAATGTAATTTTAACCCTCAAGGTTTCAAGTCGATACTTCAAAGTACATCATGTTTGACAGATGGGACAGCCTCCACAGCGTGAATCATGTTCAGATCACCTCCAGGGAAACATCTGTTTAAAGAGCGAAATACAGATCTCTAAAGCACGTAATTCATGTGACCCGACGAGGATTAAGACAGAAGAATGTAAGCTGCTGACACAAGCAGCTAAATCAGTCTAAACCCTTGTGTCCAAAATGATCTCCAGACAGCGACACCTGAAATCAACCCGGGCATCTCTCACTCTATGCAGATGAGACCGTCTTCTCCATCACTGTCTGAATTTGACCTTTAGACCAAAGAGCTTGACTCGACGTCGCACATGTTTTCACATCTGCTCAAAGTCGTCATTAAACCCTTGAAGACTGAAGAGATAGGAACAGAGCGAGAGAGAGAGAGAGAGAGAGAGAGAGAGAGAGAGTCATTTAGCTGCTGATGATTTCTGTATTCATCACACAGAGGGACCAGAGAAAACAGAGCCAGATGTAGTGAGAGGTCTCTCAGCCTCATGAGTCCCGTCAGTGGCAGGTATATTGATATATCCTCGTGGGTGTACAGGAGAGGAGATAGCGGCATAAACAGAGACACCGCTAAGAGAAGAAGCCGATGAGGGAGTTATGGTGGTGTATCTGCCAGCATGAGGAGCTTAAAACCACACTTTTCTCTCAGAGCTATCGACGCTCTCAAATGTGTCTTTAAGCCCTTAAGTTATCCAACCTGTCATTTAGGGTTTAATCCAGGTGAATGGCTTTACTGTGGTGTCTCTGAAAGATCCCCCTGTAATAATAGGTTTAAAGGTTGCAGATTAAAAATAGAGCAACACCTGGGAGCTAGTTCAGTCATGCAACTCAAGCTGCACTAATTCTGCATTTCTCATAACCACCTGACAAACATAACCCCTTAATTAGAGAGTCGAGTCAAGCTGCTGTATCTCTGGTCTCTGCTTTTTCTTTCCTGCACTCAAACTCTCAGCCCTCCACCTCTCCAGCAATTCAAGATATGCTCTTATCACTCCTCAATTTCAGTGTGTCAAGCTCATTTGTAAGGAGTCGCACAAACACACACACAATAATCTGTTCTGATCAATACAGTGTGATCTGACAGACGGAACATAAAACACTTAACGAATGTTTGCGGCGAGAGAGAGAAAAGAAATAACAGGATGGAAAAAAACAGTTTTTTTTTCTTTAGACTGACAATTCTTGCTTCATGGCATCTGATCACAATCTGTGTACTGATAACTTGTAATTGCTTCCTACCGTCACTGTCACAACAACCCTTTATTTTTTTTATCCCTATCAACCTCAGGGGTCCACTGGCTTTCATCAAATAGCATTAAATGCCTGTGGGAGTCATGGTCAACAGTTAGAGCTCAGTGTAGCCAAAGGTATGTGATAAGAAACTTTCTGCCAAGAGCTCCTTCGCTGCATTCTTCAGGAGACAATTTGTGAAACCTTGTGTGCTCACATCGAGTACAAACTTAAAATGTTTAAAAATGACGCCATTGAGTCTCGGTTTCAGTAACTCCGGTTACACTTAAGTTTTAACCTGGCTTACTTTAGTAGTAAGAAACAAACCAACAACAAAAATATCTCTATTTACTTACATTTGACAAATGTTTGTTGAGCAAAATCAAATTATGATTAAAGGTGGGGTTGTCAGGATCTGAGGAAGTGTCAGTTTTTGGGAGAAATCTTGAATGTAAACTCTACCCCTCCCAACCAGTTTTCCCCTCAGTTCCTCCTCAAGCCCCGCCCACAAACAGACGCTCCTGCTCGCTCGTATCGTTTCACTTAAATTCAGATCTAATGCAGATAAATACTTCAGATAATCACAAATGGGGCCCAGTCAAGGTGAAAGTCAAAAGCATTGGTGCTACTGTAGATGCCAACAGACTACCAGCAAACACAATGTTTGCAGGACTTCTACAACGAGGATAAAGTGACATAGTCCAGGACCCGAGGGAGGACAGTTTAGCGATGGCGCTACAACACGCTACAGCAGGTCCGTTTGACAAGAAACACTTCTGTTACAGACACTTGTCTTACTTTGTTAAAGTGGTTTACCTGTCCAGCAGAAAGGTTACAGGGTCTGTAAGATCCTGAAATGTTCCCCATTGTTTATGTTGAAGTTGATACGGCTTTTTAGCTCTTGTCCAGGTGGTCTACCTCCTTTTTAAGCGCCCGTTATTCTGTCACAGTCTCTGGTATTTACTTCGTTTTCTTGCTTGTGTTTTCTATACTTTCTGGTTGGTTTCTTCTGTCCGGTTTTGTAGCACGCTAACTTTGTTTGGGCTCGTGAACGCTGTTCGAGGATGTGGGGCGTGACTCACAACAAGAGGGAGCAACGTCTGCCTCATAACCAATCAGGTCGGGGAGGTGGAGAACAGCTTTGTTTACAGTCAGAATGAGGGGACCACTCAAAAATTTTAAAATGTTGACTACACAGATATAACAAAACACAGTGATATCGTTATATTACCAAATGCCATCAATAACTAACAGCTATTGACTGATATTAAAAGCTTTTTTGTATAAACACCACAAAAAAAAGATGCTTCTTTAATGGATTCCTGCCTACCCCACCTTTAAAGTTTAAGTTATGTGGTCATATGTTTACACTCATGGAGTACCTCAGGGATCACTTCTTAGTCCCTTAGCATTTCTCATGACATGTTCGGGTACAGAGCAGTTAACCTGTCTTCATTTCTGTGCTGATTACTCCTAAATTAAAGATTATCTCCGTCAACATCATTTGTAAAACTGGAGTGAATTGTTGACACAGCAATCAAATTGTGTACTCAGACTGTAGTCTTTGAGACAAGCGTCTGGATTTCAAATTAGGGTCTTCACTGCTTGTCTCTGCCTCGTGTCGACCATTTTCAGTCCTTCCACGTCTCCAAAGAAAGTGCTATAAATAATCTGTAAAACATATCGACTGATATTTCAAATTCACTTTGGTGTTAGCACTACTTTCTGTCCGGCTTTTCAACATTTTGTAAGTCTCATATTTTCTTGTAGAGAAATACTTCACACTGAGTTATCAGTGCTTGTTTAGTTTGAGTTATACGTCAATAACACATATCAGGGGATGTGGCTGCAGCTACAAAACTAATAGCAAATTCCACACCTCTAAACTATTGAACAGATAACTTTTTTTTATTTATCACTACTTTTTTTTTGCCTTTTATAAAGCTGGGAAAGTTCCTTATTGCAGACTGAATTGCTGAAATAGGACAGGCGATGCCAACAACATTTCAGTCCTTCCCTCTCACAAATCAAATGAGCTGCTGAGCAAATCCAACAAATTGTACCACTAGGCTGCATCGGTGACTTCAATGAAGTCTGAAAAAACTGTTTCTGATTTAACTGATTGATTAAATGAACATCTTTGCAGAATTGTCAGCTTGCCCGTAAACTAACAGATAACTGTTTTTGTCTCACATATCAGTTTTCGTATTTTATGAGTGTTTTTATTCGCCTCGATCCGACTGTGATTCTAAAAGCACAAAAGTGATTCAAATATGAAACTCATAGCTCCTGGCAATCTACCGCTAGTTATTACTCTATCATCTAAATTACCAAACTGATAAGTGATTCAGCTCATTAAAACAAACATGTTGCCAGAATATGAAAACAAGAAGTACGCAGATAACGATTCATTTAGAGCGCTGATATAAATCCTAATTATTTTCACAGCTTTGCTGCGATGTGACGGTTTTATAATCCAATGTTGTGCAAAGATCTCTGCCAAAATTGTTAATTAACCGCAACAAAATGCAGCTTTCAGAGGAGAAAATGCCCAAGGTGATAGAGATTGGCATGAAGCGGGGGATGTGTTTAATTTTGCCACGCTGCCTTGAAATGTGTGTGAGTGTTTGGTTGTGAATGTGTGCACTGTTGTCTCTTAGCAGCATAGGTGTAAGGTTACAGGAGAAGAGAGATAATCCCCTGCTTACACAGCACTCATTTTTCTCACTTGTGGGACACACACATGAAGTCATTCACAGGCTTCTGCAGAATGTGATTAAATCTCTAGTGTGTGAGTGTGTGCTTATCTATGTATACGTGTGGGGACTAACACTAAAAAGACAACCTTTCTTTAGGGGACATGTTGACATTTCGAGTGACATTTAACTCTCTTGTCCTCTCACATGGCAGTTTCACTTTTTACATCATTCTGGAGACACTGAATAACTCACAGAATAATGTGCTCACAAAGTGTTGAAGACATGTATCTGTGTGTGTGTGTGTGTGTGTTTGTGTGCAAATGCGTGTCTGCACAGTTTTTCGAAACCTGACACACGGTGCAATAAAGACACCAGAGGGAGAGTTACATTTCTATACTCAAGCAGATTTCCCCCTTACTGTGAGTTTTACGGGGAGTGTATCATTTTTTTGTCATAGTAAAGTCTTCAACAGCTCTATGTTTAGAATAGTTTTAGCATTTACGCCGGTTTTAATGAAGCTGCGCATCCATTTGTGTAGTTTATCTCCGCTTGGATGGTATCATTAGTTCCTTTTTTCATATCACAGTTATTAGTCTAATAGCTTACATTCACGATGGTGATTACATCTGCGTCAGTGCTTGTAATACAGCTGCGCTGTGTTTTCTCACCTCCATAATAGGTCTTTTTCAGTGTCTAATAAAGAGAGTTAATGAGCCAAAGAGTTAACCATCTATTTCCTGTGAAGAATTATCTCCAAGCACAGCATTTAGACCTATAGACATATACAGTGTAGATCTTTAACATAAGAGTAGATCTGAACAGTTGGTGTTCTGTTTGGTGGTCAGTTTTATGCTGTTTTCAGTGGTGATGTGAAGGACACGGTGTTTTAAAAGTTGGGAGCAGCTAATAACTGAAGATAAAATTCACTTCCTGTGTGGTTGACACTTTCCCTCATCTTGGGACCTCCTCTGCCATCAGTGACCGTCCCTCTGGTGTACATCAGTATTTCTTATAGCTGACTACAGCAACAACATTTACTCCTGCCCGCAGAGTTATTTCTCAGGTGGTCATCTCTGTGAGAAATGGATGTGTTCAGGGATGTATGTGATAGCTGCAGCTTCAAGTCTTTAAGTGGAGTTTACTGCAGGATTTGCCATCTGTGCAGATGCAGCTTTCTCATAAAACAGACCAAGCCCTTCCATGCTTTAGTGTTGCTTCAGGCTCTGGGTACGTCAGTCTTATCCCGCCCCACCAAAATCTGACTTCACACATTACCAGATGTCCTCAGGAGCTACTAATCTCATGTCAGCAATGCTTATGACGACAGTTTTTACATGTAAACCAAAGCTACATGCAAACTGACGGATGTGCAAACATCTTTTTGGAGTTTTTGTCTGGTAAATGCTTCTCCTTCTTCAACTTTTGATACTTTCATTCTCCCTTTCACATGTCGTCACTCTTTGTATTTTTCATCTTGCATGTGGAATTTAACCAAATATTTTCTGTTGCATCCCTGCATTAACTTAGACTGGATTTAACGCTAATTAAGTGGGAGCTGGCAGGAACAAGTCTTTTAAAAAAAGAAACCGGTAAAACTGTATATAAAGAAAAATGCTCCGTATAAATGTGTTTAAAAACCTTATTTTGGGCAACAATCAAGACCTCTATTTAATCTTTATTGAGTTGTAAGTAAATCTCAGCTGACCAGTGCGTGATTAAGTTAACGTAGTCCAGGATTTTGGATAATTTTTAAGTCTCTGGGAGATTAAAAGAGAATAATTTCTACTAAGGACAGCAAGTAAAGGGGGAAAAATAGGGGCCCAGAATAGATCCCTGTGGAACATCAGGAGAATGCAAACAGCTTAAAGTATTAAAGAAACATTACAATTCACACTTGCAGTTTATTTTAGTAAATTTTAGGGGTAGATCAGTCATTGATTACCAGGGTTGATTTACAACATTTGGCTGATTTATTATATCAGCCTGAGCTTATAAAGTTGTCAATTCAAAAATGTTGCTTCTTTGGCTCGACTGTCAGTGTGTCTTGCCTTCTGGGTCTCCATTAATACCTGGACCACATTATTATTAGATTGGCTCGATGTGTATGCAAGTGTAACAAAATAACTATTAACTCCTGTATGATGTTTGAAGTTTTAGTTTCGTTTAAACATTTGCTGAAGGCATTAAGGAAATGTTTACACCAAAGTTTGAATTTTGGCAGGAAGTTGTTTTCATTTTAATATCAGTGCATGTTGGTTCCAAATACCGATAATTGATCACATGAAATACTAATAATGGGCCCTGCAAAACCAATATCAATTGATCCCCAGTAAATTTGCAAATAAGTAGTTGTTAGGCAAGAGATGTTGCAAGTCTGGATCTGTTTCTAACTCTAAATGTTTAAATAATAAATAAGTAACACACTCCGTTTCCAAACTTTGGTGTGTGCATGTGTGTGTTGTCTACACATGTCCAACACTGGCTGCACGGGTTGTTGCTTTCCCTAACACCTCTCCTCCTTGTTAGCACACGGTGATGGAGCATGTCCTTGATCTTGTGACAGTGTCTGGTCCATTATTGACGTGACACTGTCACATGTCGTAACATATTACAGTTTTGCCCACATCATCTGCGCTCTGCCAACAGGAATGAGTCCAGGCCGTCAGTGCTGAGGTGTGAAATTTCTTTTCTCTCTCCCTGACATGCTGTCCGGCTGACATAGCACCTGTATCTGGGAATGAGGGGGTTTAGTTTGCTCACAGTGATACATACAGAGTGGTTTAAGTCTGCAGATAATTGGTTCAAATGTGGAAAGCTCTGAGATCGAAAAAGTCTGTTCTGTAAGACAGTCAGGACATTTTTTAATAGGTTTACTACTACTCTCATTTCAGATCCTAAACTGCTGAAACCAGTTTTGTAATTAAGGGTTTAACATTTACTCTGGCTGATTAAGAGGGCTGAGTGGTAAACAAGCAGCTCCATCAGACACATCTGTAAACACAAAGCAGGGAGCACATTTGAGATTTGAGAGATTAGTTTCAAACGTCTCTCTCGAAATGCCCCTCGAAAACAGCAGCTCGGTGCAAACTTCAGTGCCCCTGCTCGCTTTTAAAAAGTTGATTTTTCCAGCAGCTGCTACGCTTAGAAGCTGTACACCCAACATCTGTTTATATGACATCAAACTTAAGATAGTACTCAAGAAAAGTTTGGTACGACTCAATTTCACACCCCATCTGCCATTATCTGATGATGACTAAGTGATCTCTGAGTTTGAGATAGTCGGCAGCTGGAAATAAAAAACATTCAACCATTCATTCCCAAAAAAGCCTTTTCCTCTGTGTTGCTGTTAGATTAGAAACTTAAGAAGCAAGAATGGAGTTAGGTATTTTAGGAGTTAGAAGATTAACTGTAAAAGGATGTACAATGATAACCTGTTAGGATGCGAATGCTCTATCGTAAAAGCCCTGTCTGGATTAGCTTAAATAAATATTTACTTTGAGGCCAGTGGGACAAATGTAAGGAAGTTTTATTGAATTCTGGGTTTTAACACTTAGATTTCGACAAGTCTTTTTCCAAGCACTGGGCAGATTATTGTGATTTGCCTGACCTAAATTTAGTGGGATAGAAATCTGCCTAATCGTGAGGGACTTGATGCATCTGCCAGAACAAATAAGGCATCATCTCGCTGATTCATCTGGTTTTAAGGCTCAGAAACTAATTCACATTAATGTTAAGTACCATTTGTAGGAAAGCCAGCATCAGTAGTTTGAAGAAATATCACCAACAGTGGGTGGTAGGCAAATAAATCAACAACGTAGGAGAGTTGAAGTCCATATCCAATCCAAGCATTGTTAGGATTCTCTGTATAATGTCAATAAAACTGGATTTTGATGCTCTCCAAATATTGTAAACCCACATAACTAAAAATAGTGCAAAGACATTTCAAAACTAGCTCTGACTTTTCTTGTTTTTGAAAAGTGTAAGCTCATTTTTATAATTGAAATCAGCAACAAAAAGGTTTTTAAAAAGTTGGAACAGAAAAAGTTGTGCAACCCGGGATTTCCACCGCATCCTGAACGGCTGCAATTTCCACCGTCCGCCAATTCCTGACGGATCCACTTGTGAGGTGAATTTCATGGCGGGTTACAGACACCGCAAGGACTCAAAAGAATCCGCGGATTCACGTGCAATTGTGCGATTATGAGTGTTCATCCCTGCCCCTTTGCATGGTGTGAAAGATGATCTGCCTGAAACAGGGAGTGTTTTATTTTGAAAAGAAACAGGATGTTTTATTTTGTGTCTGTGCCCGACTTCCTTTCCAGCACGGGTTAATCTGTGCTGAATTTATGCTCCTGTGTCCGGAAAAAAACTAACTCTTGCGATCAGCTGCAGAGTCCGGCGATCCGCAGCGAAACGGAAAGAAACTGGTGAAAATTGACACATTTACTTGGATGGTTACAATCAGCTATGATTGGCGGATACGGCCTTTTTGTAGCCGTTCTGGATGCAGTGGAAATTGGGGGTAATGCTAAAAAAACCTGGAGGAACATCCTGCAGCTTATTAGGTTTATTTATAACAGACTGATAATTTGAGGGGGTATAAAAATATCACTCAGAGTGGGTGAATCTCTCGGTCTCAGTTGCAAAGTATGGAGGAGTTTTAGCAATCTGTGAGAGACTGCGTGAGAAGAGTGTCGATCAGTTCCAGGATAATTGTCGAGAATTTGGATCTTTCATTGTCTAGAGTTCATGAAATTAAAGCTTTAGAGAATCTGGAGAGACCACTAAACAAAACAGAAAAGGCCAAAAACCAATACTGGATGGTCAATACTTCATTTGGACTTCACTGTATCATAAAGAAACATGATTCTTTAGTGGAAATCTCTGCATCGGCTCAAACTCACTCCCAAAAATCCATCATCTGTAAATAAAGTTTGTCGCTGTAAGATGGGACAACATTGTACTTTAAACCTTGGTTTAAAAAACAGAAAATTCCGTTTCTTTCATAGTTTCCTACTGCGTCACAACTCTTTTTTTGTACCAGGGTTGTATTTCTTGTTCAAGATGAACAGAATATTTGTGTGTCTCTCTCAGAGACAACCTTTGCAGTGACACAGCACCACGTTTTGTCTAAAAAATGAGCAACCTTGTGGGGAAATCAACAGATAGTTGTGACAGTCAACACTTTCCTCAGAGAGGAGCTGGCAGCAGTGGCGCTGAATGTGTCTGGTCTTGTAAGACCAAGTTTGACACTAACTCATGAGTATTATTGACCTTTCCCAAAACCAATCTGAACTTTTTTAATTGCTCTCTCATCATGTTTTAGATGTTTAAGAGTCTTAATAAGGTGTTGATGTTGGTTGAAGAGGAGCTGATCCTCAGCGTTAAAACGCCTCTGTGGCGCGTGAAGCTTCCAGAGATGAAAATGTAATTCAGTTCTGGGGATATTGTCGAGATTTATCTGTCGATCTATCGACTGTGTCCCTGTCAGCTTAGATAAGGGTTATAACCAGCTCCTGTTTCCAGCTGAAGTACATATTGGCAACCTCACTGTTTCTGAGACTCTGAGCCATTTTTATCAAATCAGCTGTGCTGCGGCGTAACACCCAGGAGCGAGCGCCGCTGCTCAGACTGTTTCATAATCCAGGTTTTTCAGGTTGGACTTGCAGGAGAGGAAAACATGGTAACAAGAAAGAACAGCGGGGATTTGGGGGGGTGGGGTTGGGGGGCAGGTTTGATTGAAGTAGAGCTGGTGTTGAATTTGCTGCATCGCCCACAGTGTCTCCCTTGGAGGCCGCCATGATTGAAGAAAGAGAAGAAGAAAAAGGCAGGAGGAGAAATCCCCACAGCGTGAGGCTCCACAGCGAGAGACCTCTGCCTGTGACTTTGTTTCTTGAAGACCAGCTTTGTTTCCTTAAATGAGGGGGGGCTTTGTTGATTTGTTTTAGGGTATGGCTCAGCACCGTTTTTCCAGTTACATCTCAAACTGTTCCTGTGATTACCGGTAGATTCAAAAGTCATGATGTCTTTATTTCATCGTACTTCAAGGGCTGTTTTCAAACTGGTGTCTAAACCTGGTTTTAACTACAGTCCTACCTTTGCTCTAGGAGTCATTTACCAACCTTTGAACAAAAACAGACAGACAGAAAAAAAAGCAACATCAGATTTGTGGAAATAGAAGTATTCAGACCATCGGATTGATCATTAGAGTCTTGGTCCATCGACGGCACCCTTGACTTATCCATGTGCTCGTGTCTCTTTTAGTATTTTCATAGTTCAATCCTGGAAAAGCAACTTCCGTAGCAACCTCACTTCACCTTCAACAACCAATCAGAGTCAAAAAGGGGAGGGACTTCCTAATTTGACTTTGTGAACAATTGTGGTAGAACTCTGAAGCGAGCATCCAAACTTCATAATTCTAGGATACGACAGTATGTTTCATATCTGGGTAACTAAGTACTGTAAAGTTTACATTGGGGGAACCCACTGAGCATTTTTTGGTCTAAAAGAGGTCTAATAGAGGTCTAAATGTAGCCTAGACTACTGGTCTAAAATCAGGCTACCACAGGTCTAAAAATGAAAGTTTTTTAGACGTCTAAATTTAGACCAAGATTAGACTAGCCGGCTAACAGAGGTCTAACTGTATATTGTTCAACGGCTCCCATAATTATTTTGGTTAAGTACTTGGAGATCAGTTATCCAACTCACAGTTACTTTTTAAATAAATAATTATCAAATAATGGATTAAAGTGCAACGTCTGAATTCCGTCTAAAAATATACAGAATCTAGATGGTTAAAATTAGGTTAAAAAAAAAACTAGATGTCTAATAGTTATCTATTGCTCAGTGGGAACTGCCAGCACTAAAACAGAAAAGCTGTCAGTGGACACAGGCCCTTAGTTATGATCTTAACTAATAAGGTTACATCTACAGGAAGGAGCCCGAGCTTTGTTAAAGTGTCTGTTTATTAGTTTGATTAAAGCCATAGTTATAAATAGATCTCATCCTCTGATAGGTTTTTCCTTATAACCATATTTTTGTCTTGTGCAGTCATTGTGGTTTGAGCTTATTAAATGCTAAAAGTATTTAATAAACTCAGTCATGAGGCAATATAGGAAATTATTGAACACGAGGAGCCTCTGGAAGGACCTAAAGATTTGCAAACTTGTCAAACTGTCTCTGTATTTTTGTGTTTTAGTTTAAAAATAGCGGAGAGGCTGAGATAACTCATTCTTTGATAACAAGCCATATGACCACCCAGAGTTAGAGGAGTCTTTAACGAGTAGAGGGGCTTTGGGATTTGGAGATAATTTGTAGTTTCCAAGAGAGAAAACACACACATGCAAGAGTGTGAACAGCCAGTGGCCACAGCCAAAGTTTTATCAGTTTGACCCATATATTTGTGAGAGATTTAAAAATAAGCTCCACTCGGAGGATATTTTTGTGCTCTTGGTTATACTGTTGCTATGTTGTCAGTGGGATTAGGTGAAAGCTACTGAGGAAGTGAAGCATAAGCCAAAGAAGCTACAACAGCAATGCACAGCTGAGATGATTACGCAGCAGCAGACAAAACCATATTTCAGCATAATTCAGGAGCGCGTTGGGAGAGTATCCAGGAGCATGAAGTGGTTGATTTTTGCAGATCTGCATATCGTCGAGGGCTGGAGTATTTGCAGAGCAGATGTCTTCACAGTCTGAGTGCCCTCCTTGTAGATAAATAAACCAGTAACTACAGTCTGTATCCGTGCAGACAGACTTCTAAAATTGATCTAGACTCCACCTACAGTCATTTTCTACTTTACCTACCGACACTGAGTGAGCAGATGAAAAGGACAGATGATGAAGCCTCCGCTTTCTTGGGTTGAGTTAACAGTATTACTGTTGGATCCCGTACAATTGGATTATTTGGAGCTGGTTTCTATTAGATGCTGTGATTTTAAGCAGTCCCACTTTGGCGTTTAGTTTTTGCAGGCACATAGATATAAAGAGGTATAAAATCTAATGATGCACAGGCCAGAAAAAGACATGCCGGGAAAAAAAAAAGATATAAAATAATGTAGAAAAAATCCAATAATTTAGAACCTAAAAGAACAAGGGTTTGGTTTATAGCAAAGGCTAAATCACTTGGAAAAGTAAGTTAACGAAAACACTCTTGCATTAAACGTATCAAAGTTTTAGATTTGAGACGAGGTAAGTGTATTAATTAAGCATTATTCTAAGTGTTTCATAAAAATGAATATTCAAAAACATTAAAACTGACAAGTAAAAATGTAAAAAAAAAAAAGGTGATATTTTTGGTAAACAGACTGAATAGTGCTGGTCTGATAGATTTGGAGCAAAAATCGGAGGGTCCATATTTCCAAAAATACTGTCAGACTTTATGACAGTTTTCCACTTTATTTCAGTCTTTCTTAAACAGATACAATGACGTTTTTGAATACACTAACATAGTATGTGCACGGACAACAGATTTGGGATTTTGAACCCATGCAGTGATTTTCACTACAGAGTCATGTCTGTTTTTAATGCGGTGCTGCTTGTGGACCTGAATATCTAAGCCACCCAGTATTAGTGATTTCTCCTGACGCTCTGGATCTTTTAATGATGTTATATAGAGAAGATAATGAATTTTTTGCAGTTTTAAGATCTCTTAAATGCTCTCTAAAACCCAATTATGGTCCCAAATTGATCGTCAGTTTTTAATTCTTACCTGTGTAATTATTTCACACCTGTCCAATGCTCCTGTCTCAGGTTCGCAGTGGGAGTTCGGTGGTGACTCGGCGCCGAGAGCAGCGGGTGTTGCTGATGGTCGTCACCATGGTGGTGTGCTACCTGCTCTGCTGGCTTCCTTACGGCGTGGTGGCCTTGCTCGCAACCTTTGGCCCCCGTGACTATTTGACCCCAGAGGCGACCATTACGCCGTCTCTTCTGGCCAAGTTTTCCACTGTCATCAACCCCTTTATCTACATTTTCATGAACAAACAGGTGAGCGTGTTCTTTGTCAGTGACTTGTAGACGCTCTGTACGAAATACATCCTGATCTGTTCACTGTTTCTTCTCTCAGCGATGCAGCTGGATATTTCAGACATGTTTGATTTTTTCCTGTGGATCTAAAACTACTGACATTACTTATGTGTGTAGGAGGAATAAAACTAGAATCGCTGTTCAAACATGATGACTAAACCCCTCGAACAGGAGAACTGTGAGTGTGCAGATTTCAGCAAAGGTCTATCAGACGGTTCTGAGGACTCTGACTATACAATAGAAGACTACTGTATACTATATTTATTTATTGCTCTATATATATTTGAAAAAAAATCTCATTTGAAGCTTTGAACTATCCAGAAGATTCTGTCTTAGAAATGTTCACCAGGCAGGTGTCTTGACTAGTCATGTTTTAACAGATTTTAGTGTAAGCAGAGAGAAAAGTTTGTCCTGTAAACAACCCACTGAGCATTTTTGGTGTAAAAGAAGTCTGATAGACATCTAAATGTAGCCTAGATGACTGGTCTAAAATCAGGCAACTACACGTCTTGAAATGAAAGACTTTTAGACGTCTGAATTTAGACCAAGTTTAGACTAAATCTAAATCTGGGCTATATCTATACTACACTGTATATTGCTGAACAGCTATCACATTTTTTTTATTTTTTATTAATAGTTATCAAATAATGGGTTAAAGTGCAACGTCTAAATTCCATCTAGAAATGTACAGAATCTAGACGGTTGAAGTTAGGTCTAAAAAAAAGAAATTGACGTCTAATAGCCGTCTACTGCTCAGTGGGGAATGTCGACAGAAACTAGTAAAATGTACTGACATCCTGACTCCTATCACATATTGCAGAGCACCTGACAGTTATTGATTTACTTCATAAACGAATATCTGAACCACAGTGCAGCTCACTATTCGATTAAGATCCAAAATTTCAATTTGGGTGACCTGGTCTTGAATCCAGTCAGTGTTTGGCTTTCTTATCAGAGAGTTTTGTTATTTTTTTTAAATTTATTTTGGTTGGTTTGAAGTTGATCTTGCTGCAGATGCTACACAAAATTCGTTTAGTAACAGGTGATGCCATGTTGGATGTCTGGGTGCAGAACTCGCCATCCCTTTTAATTGATTTCTTCTTCTAAACAGTAGACCCCATAAAGCTTGAATTTGTACTTTTTATGAGTTTACATCATGAAACTGCAAATGAAACAAAGTTAAAACCCATCAGTTGGAAGTCTGGGCCTGAGAGAAGCAGATATGTCCAGCACATATGGCAGAACTATGACAACTTGAATGTATAACCTCCTATTTACAGTGTAACTGAGACTCACCGGAAACAGAAACTGACCTGACCTCCTCCAAAGGATGCAATAAATAAAGAAATTACACTTTTGATCCAAACACAAAAAAAAATCTGTCTCAGAAATCAAAGTGAAGACGACGGGTCCTGATCTGTCGTACTCTGTATTTACTCAGTTGTTCAGAGTGATCTTCTCCTCTGAACCAGGACTGAAAAACATCTTCAAATGTTGGTGGAAATAGTTTTTATGTGTGGGCTGTAGAGTTGACAGGTTCGGGTCCAGTCTCTTGTTAGGGAAAAAAACTCAGTTTGTTGCATTTCCAGCCTGGAGAACATTTCATTGAGCCATTTTTTGTCTTTAGGCACATTTATTTTTAGAAAGCAGCCTCTCATCTTCAGTCGGCACTGACCTTTTCTTTATCCAGTTGGAATGAAAGCTACAAGCGGCAGAGTCTGAATCAATATCGGCTTTTTTTTTGCCAAGTAGGTTTTCACATAAGAGGAAACAGCTTCGGTGTTTGTTGTGTAATGGTCACAACAAACATGGTGAGAGACTGAGGGAAAAGGACCTGCAAAAGTCAAGCATCTATCCTGCAAAACAAACAAAAATTTATTTAAACAAAAGCAGAAAAAAAAAAACTGTTGGTAGAAATTAAAGATCCCTGCAGGCTTTTAATCAAATAGAGTCTGAAATGTGCAAAAACACTATCGTACAATGATAAATCAGCTGTTTATTAATGTTAATTCAATAAGCGACGTACCTGGAGGCCATTCTGAGAGTAAAGTGTTGGTAATGAATGTGAATCCTGCAGGCTAATGTCTGGATTTTGCAAAAACTATTTGTCAGAAAAGGTAACAAATAGTTTCATCACTGTTCAGGTGTTTGCGGTTCAACAAATTCAACATTTTTAATCAAAAAGCTGTTCAGTTTATGCTCCAAAGTCAATCATTTGGTCTGTTTAGGTTTCAGTTTGTCTTATTTGTATTGTTCAACCATTTTTTTAAGGATAATCTTAATTTAAAACCCTGTATTTTGCAGAGGATAGGAGTCGAGGATAACACACACCAAATCTGTGGCCTCTCCACTGAAACAGCTGAACGTCTCTCAGCTCAGATCAATGTAAGAGAACATTTGGGAGCATGAGGGAGTCATAGCTCCTGCTGAGATGGGAGGTGGATTGACCGTTGTGTCTTGAGATTCACACCCACAGGGTATCATTTAGGTGAAACTAGACCTTGGAGTTCATCCGCTGGCTTCTGATTTACACCTTCAGTTTCCTACATGCAGCTAAAAGCACATGCAAACATATGTAGGCTTTCACATACATGCACAGATAAAAGACTGAAGTGCTACATCCTTAACAGCTTAAACAGCACAACACCTGCCCCCTCACTCTTTGTGTAAACAAAGTGTGATGTGCAGAATAATCAGAGAAGACTTTGCTCCTCTCGTGACTGATTGGTGTTTCTCTGGTTTCACCTCTTTATCTACCCGTCAGCCGTTTCAGCTCATTCCTGCACTCACGCAGAAACTGCCATGTGGTGGATTCTGGCACAAAACAAACTGATTCCACTGACTGAAATATCAAGCAGATGCACTTTCAGAGTAATTACACTCTTATCAAATGACTACAATCTGGTGGAGGTGGGACCAGTGTACAGGAAGTTATACAGCAAAATCCCAGAGCATGAAAACTGTAGGGTGTGCTAGCGAGTCTTTTTTTTTTTTCATGTATTTTGGGCCATGGCAAAATATGTGAATTTTAGCTTGGCCAGACCTGCCTGCCAAATTTCACAAGTTTTTGAGCCAGTCTAGGGGGTTTTTAAGTTGAAAAACTTTCAATAATAATAATAATAATAATAATGATAACTTCAATAGGGCTCTTGCTTGCTGCTTGCTGCTTGCAGTGTTGGCTTGGGCCCTAAGAATGTCAAAATCTTAGTATAAGGGTAACGTGAAGGGTTTGGGTTTTTTTTTAAGTATTTTAAAAATTTCAAATTTTAGTGTGAATAATAATTTCATATTTTAGTTTGGAAAAAAAATACTGTAGTATAGTCTGATATGATATAAGGTTCCACTTTGACATGGATGGTACTGTGGTGTAATGGTAAGCACTGTTGCCTCACAACCAGAAGGAACTGGGTTTGAATCTCACCCAGAATCTATTGTGTTGTGTTTAAAATTTAGTATGAAAAAAAACAAAGATAGTATAGTATGATAAAAAATGTCATTGTATAGTATGACAAAAATGTCATATTTTGATGTGAAATGTGAAATCTGAATTTTTTTTCACCCTCAAATCTGAAATTTTGGTCATAGTATACTATGATGTTTTTTTCGGACTAAAAAATATATATATATATTTTTTAATGCTAAAATATGACATTTTTAACACCCTATACTATGGCATTTTGATCAGACCATACTATGGCATGTTTTTTTATCCTAAAATCAGAATTTTTTTTTCACCCTAAAATCTGAAATTTTGCTCATAGTATACTATGATGTTTTTTCGTACTAAAGTATAAGTTTTATTTTTTGCACGAAAATAAGGCCTTTTTCAAACATCCTATTCTATGGCATTTTGATCAGACAATACTATGGCATGTTATTTCACCCTAAAATCCCCCCAAAAAATTTCACCCAAAAATCTGAAATTTTGGTCATAGTATACTATGATGTTTTTTTTTCAGGCCTAAAAAAATATATATATATTTTTTTTAATGTAAGAAAAGTTCACAGTTTAATGTTTTTCAATGTCATAGTATAGTGTGGTATAATATAAGCTTCACCAGTGACAGGATGGTACTATGGTGTAATGGTTAGCAAGTATGAAAAAAATACCACAGTATAGTATGATAAATGTCATTGTATAGTATGACTAAAATGTCATATTTAAGTGTGAAAAAAGGCGTAGTATAGTATGATAGAAATATTATAGTATGTTTGAAACTTCATATTTAAATGTGAAATAAAGATTATATTTTAGGATGAAACAAATGTCTTTTGATAAAAATTTCATAGTATAGTATGAAAAAAATGTCATATTTTGATGTGAAATGTGAAATCTAATTTTTTTTCTTTTTTTTTTTTTTTTTACCCTCAAATCTGAAATTTTGGTCATAGTATACTATGATGTTTTTTTTTTCGGCCTATAATATATATATTTTTTTCTGCTCAAATGTGACATTTTTAACATCCTATACTATGGCATTTTGATCAGACAATACTATGGCATGTTATTTCATCCTAAAATCCCCCCCAAAAATTTCACCCTAAAATCTGAAATTTTGGTCATAGTATACTATGATGTTTTTTATCGGACTAAAATATGATATATTTTTTTAATGCTAAAATATGACATTTTTAACACCCTATACTATGGCATTTAAATCAGACCATACTTTGGCATGTTATTTCATCCCAAAATCCCCCAAAAAATGTTCATCCTAAAATCTGAAATTTTGGTCATAGTATACTATGATGTTTTTTATTGGACTAAAATATGATATATTTTTTTTTTATGCTAAAATATGACATTTTTAACATCCTATACTATGGCATTTTGATCAGTCCATACTATGGCATGTTATTACATCCTAAAATCAGAAATTTTTTTTCACCCTAAAATTTGAAATTTTGGTCATAGTATACTATGATGGGTTTTTTTTTCGGCCTATAATATATATATTTTTTTCTGCTCAAATGTGACATTTTTAACATCCTATACCAAGGCATTTTGATCAGACAATACTATGGCATGTTATTTCATCCTAAAATCCAAAAAAAAAATTTCATCCTAAAATCTGAAATTTTGGTCATAGTATACTATGATGTTTTTTATCGGACTAAAATATGATATATTTTTTTAATGCTAAAATATGACATTTTTAACACCCTATACTATGGCATTTAAATCAGACCATACTTTGGCATGTTATTTCATCCCAAAATCCCCCAAAAAATGTTCATCCTAAAATCTGAAATTTTGGTCATAGTATACTATGATGTTTTTTATTGGACTAAAATATGATATATTTTTTTTTTATGCTAAAATATGACATTTTTAACATCCTATACTATGGCATTTTGATCAGTCCATACTATGGCATGTTATTACATCCTAAAATCAGAAATTTTTTTTCACCCTAAAATTTGAAATTTTGGTCATAGTATACTATGATGGGTTTTTTTTTCGGCCTAAAATATACATATTTTTTTCTGCTCAAATATGACCTTTTTAAACATCCTATACTATGGCATTTTGATCAGACAATACTATGGCATGCTATTTCATCCTAAAATCCAAAAAAAAAAATTCATCCTAAAATCTGAAATTTTGGTCATAGTATACTATGATGTTTTTTATCGGACTAAAATATGATTATTATTTTTTTTAATGCTAAAATATGACATTTTTAACACCCTATACTATGGCATTTTGATCAGACCATACTATGGCATGTTTTTTTATCCTAAAATCTGAAATTTTTTTTCACCCTAAAATTTGAAATTTTGGTCATAGTATACTATGTCGTTTTTTTTCATACTAAAGTATAAGTTTTATTTTTTTGCGCGAAAATAAGGCCTTTTTAAACATCCTATACTATGGCATTTTGATCAGACAATACAATGGCATGTTATTTCATCCTAAAATCCCCCCAAAAAATATCACCCAAAAATCTGAAATTTTGGTCATAGTATACTATGATGTTTTTTTTTTTTTTCGGCCTATAAATGATTTTTTTTTAAATAAAAAAAAATGTTTACATTTTAATGTTTTTCAATGTCATAGTATAGTGTGGTATAATATAAGCTTCACCAGTGACAGGATGGTACTATGGTGTAATGGTTAGCACCGCTGCCTCACAACCCAAAGGTACAGGGTTCGAATCCTGGTCAGGGATAGTCTGATAGAGGTGAAGTGTGCAAACACAGTATACTAGTCCAAAACAAGTGTCGGGGTCCAGTTTGATGAAATATACAACTGAAGTATGAAAAAGAATAGTATGATAAATGTCATTGTATCTAGTATAAATAAAATTTCATATTTAAGTGTGAAAAAAGGCATAGTATAGTATGATAAAAATGTCATAGTATTGTATGACAAAAATTTCATATTTTGGAGTAAAATAAAGATTCATTTTTTAGCATGAAGAGAAGTCATAGAAGTCAATTTGATCGTATAGCATATTAAATATTTCATTTTTCAGTGTGAAATAAAATTTCTTTTTTAGTTTAAAAAAAAGTTCAGGGTAGCTTTTTAAAAATGTCATATTGTATTTAGAAAATAAAATTTCATATTTTAGTATGAAAAAAGTCATAGTATAGTATGATAAAAATGTCATCGTACAGTATATTAAAAGTTTCAAATTTTAGCGTGAAATAAAATTTAAATTTTAAGTTTGAAAAAAAATCATAATATAGTATGATAAAATGTCATTGTGAAGAATGATAAAAATGTCATATTCTAGTGTAAAAATTATTTTCATATTTTAATTTGAAAAAAGTCATAGTATAGTATGATAAAAATGTCACACTGTAGTAGGTTAAAAAAATTCATATGTAAGCGTGAAAAAAAAAATATTTTAGTATGAAAAAAATGTCATAGTATAGTATGATAACATTCAAATTATAGTGTGAAACAAATCGTATTTTAGAATGAAAAGAATCATGTTTTACTGTGAAAAAAAAGTTATAGTATAGTATAAGAACAAAAAAGTCATAGTAATGTATGATAAAAATGTTATAGTAGCTATAGCCTGATAAAACTATCATAATATTGTATGTTTAAATATCAGTATAGTTTAATGAAAATATCACACTTTAGCATGATAAACATGTCATATTATAGTTTGAAAAAGGTTAGAAGAAAAGGAAGGAAGAAAGAGTTGATAGAAGGAAGAAAGGAAGAAGGAGTAAAGGGAGGACAGAAGCAAGGAAGAAAGATAGCAAGAAAGGAATTATGCCACAGGGCAAGGAAGGACAAATAGTGAAAGAGAAAAATAAAGAGGGAGTGACAGGAAGAAAACCTGGTATCAACAAGCAGCTAAAAGAAGAGAGGAACGATGGATTGAAAGGAGAAAAGAGAAAGAAACTGGGGATGAAAAGAAGGAAGTGGAAATGTCATTAATAAAAAAGATGAAAGATGGGTGGGCAATTAAAAGCTGATTTGAAAAGGAAGAAAAAAAAAGGCAGTCTGAATGTGAGTGATGGTTCTGAGGACAGACATTAAGATGAGAGACAGGAGGAGATAAGTGAAAAGGTGAGGATGAAAGAGAGAAGGTGACAGGTGGGATGTCTGTTTGAGGAGCGCTCCTTTAATCTGGGAAAGGGAAATTTGATTGTGATTAGTATGTGATGTTACTATCAGGGAGCTACAGGGAGACGTTGACCTTTCCTTCTTCTGTCACACCCTTTTTATCTGTCGCCGCCTTTTTTTTAAATCAGCTTCTCCCTCAGCTCTGTCTGCCAGGTGTTTCTCCTGCTGGTCTTTTTGTGCTCAGGAGACATTTCACACTCTTCGACGGCTGATTCTGTCACATGGCGAAGTCATTTACCACTCGCAGAACTTTTCAGGGCTGCAGACGGACGTTCAGGAGGTCGCGCTGCGTGGCGCTTTCAGTCTTCAGTTCCTCCCAGCCCATACCTATGGCAGCAGTGTGTTGAGGCGAGTTGAAGACTTAAAGCGCTGCACAGATTCATGCCACAGACCTGAGCTTTTGTTGTGGGAACTACACCTTTGCAGTTGAAGCAAAATGTGCTAGTGCTGATTTTTTTTTTCAAACTGTATACTCCCCGGAGCCTGAGGCGGGTGAGAAAGCTTGTGGTTTCTTCCTCTGATCAAGAACACACTCTCTTTGAAAGACTTTCCTTGGACAAGAAGAAGCAGTGAACTATCAAAACCAAAACCTCGCACCACAGACTTCCTCCCCTGGCCATTTGAAACGGGTCTGGAGCTTTCCACTGAACACCTAACACAAAGTCTACATGCATGATGTAATTCCACAGTAAGACTGATTATTCACAGCCGTTTAAATGTCTCCTTTACTACAACCCTTTTCCCAAGGCCCCCTCCGTGTTAAGACCCTTAACAACTGAGAAATATGGCATGCATACCACTTGAGGGTAAATTGTTCTCAATGAGAGGTAATGTAGTTGTGCATAGCGTAGCAAAGGGAAGAAGTGGACCAATTAATCCTACCACAGAGCGACCTCTTCATCAGACTTCAGGCCTTCCAACTCTCTGGAGTGTCTCTATTATAGGAGGTCCTCTCATCCTGTTAAAGCACGACACACAAATCCTCTTCTTGTTTCTTCTTCTAGCTCTCCCGGCACAATAGGACACCGCAGGTCAGAGACACGGCCAGGCTCTGTACCATTTCTCCACAATTAGCTGAGTGCAGCTCAAAAAGTGAGGATGTCCTGAAAAATTCCTCACATCCAACAAGTGAAACTTGAGAGCACGAGGAAGTTGTAGCCCCCTGTTAAGACTAATGGTGGACTTATGTATCTTCAACATGTTCTGCAACTGTGAGACAAACTATCAGGCAGCAACAGAGGAGCAGGAGGAGGCAGGTGTGAGTATCTGTAGGTATCTGAAAAGCCAAGGGACAGAGAGAGAGAGAGAGAAAGAGGGAGAGGCAATTGTGATTATCAAGCAGCCCTGCTATTACTTTTTCATGTTTGGGACTAAATATAAGAGGTATCACTTTGTCCACAGGGGGCGCCAAAACCAAAACAAACAAAAAGTCCCTTACAGCAGTTTTAATGTACTGTGTAAACACTATTAAATGATGATAATAAACCTCACTTTATTCCTGCTTTGCAAAGAAATTGAGCCAAAATAACGCCATGATGGCTGCTGCTGTCTTTAAACTGGCTGATGGAGCCGCACTCTCGGATTAACTAAAACACACATTTAACTTACTGATGTAATTCATGACAGAACAGGTTTTAGCATTAATTAAAAGTAAACCCTAACAACTGGAGAAAGTTTAATGACCTGTTGGTGATGTTCTCTTTCCAGCACTCCTCCTCTTACTTCTCTGGTAATGCGGTGAATAACACTACGGACCTGTCAGCGATGGTGTCACGTCCCCTCTGCACAGCATCAAATAACAAAAGAAGCAACGGTAACACTTTACAATAACCATAATTAATAAAAGGTAAATAGATAGTTTATCAATGTTTAATTATAATTTAAAAACAGCATATAGACCAATTATAAATGGCAAATAGATAGTTTATTAATATAAGTTAATATTTACTTTACCATTAACAAGCAATGAAATTATGGTTAATAGTTTTCATTAATTATTAATCAGCTATTTAGTAAAGGTTTACATAGGGTTTAAATATGGGTGGTAAAACATCTTGATTTAAATGTGTGTCAGTAGCACTTTTTTAAATTGTTAGTATTTGGTTTTTAAATCACCTATAAACATCACTGAGATGTTATCATAAGGTCAGGGTTAGGTTTTTAAAATTGTAAAATTTACAATTTATTATGGTGCTTTATTAATGCTTTTTATAAATGATGATTAAGCATGAATAAACTATCTGCTTGCCATTTTTAAATGGTCTATATACCATTTTTAGGTTATGGTTATTGTAAAGTGTTACTGAAGCAACTTTACACATAAACATAAGAGTTGGTGGTGAGACAAGACTTTTCACTTTGTCCACAGGGGGCACCAAAATCAACACAAACCAAAAGTTCCTCACAGAAGCTTTAAAACAGATAAGGTGGACTTCTTTCACCCAAATAGTTAGTATTTGCTTTGTCTTTGCACAGATATTTTAAACTGGATTAATCTTCTTGTTATTTGATCACTGTGAATGTAACTGATCTGTAAGTAGAAGCCCTGCACTCATCATGACATTTCTCGATTATTGTTGTGAGTGATTTTGTTCTGCTGTGCACATCGTGGTATTTTTTTAGACGCCGCGCTGACGGGGGGGTGTTGACATGCAGCGCCGCTCTGACAGGAACACAGATCATTGTGTGTGTGCGCGCGTGTGTGTGTGTGTGTGTGTGTTTTAAACCCCTTCCCTCTGCTTCTTTAATTATTTTGAAGGAGGGACATGTAGCAGAGAGCAGCAGCGTGACAGGAGAGCTTTGTTTACAGTGGAGGAAGACGAAGAAGAGGCAGCAATGTGTGAACATCTGACAGCGTTTTTTACACCCCGTCTTTTCTGATTTTCTCTACAGCCTCTTCAGGAGATTTTCTGTACTTACATTTTGATATAAAATCTTTGATTTGAGTTCATCTTTATGGCACAGGATACTCAGAAAACAAAGTGCAGTTCACCTCCAACTATAAGTGCAAGAATAAGGTACATATAATGTTATGTAATAAACAGTAGGGGGTGAATATAAATGTGCAGCTGTAGGACTTTGTAGTGAGTCAGCAGTCAGAGCAGGTGACTCAGGTATAAATCTAAAACATTTCGGACAGGTAGAGGTTATAAATGTCCATAAAAGCAGCTGATTCTGACCAGCAGGGATGCTAAAGAAGGTTTACTGCAAACAATCATTGCACGCAATCGCTTTATCAAAAATTATGCATACACACACAGAGACACGCACACACCGGTTTGGAGTGGCGGTTGAGGATTTGGTCACTCCTCACCCCTAAGATCCAAGTCCGTGTCTGATTTGAGCTGTAATCCAACATGACGTCAGTTTGTCCTCCTGCTCCTCCACCTCTTTCCCCTTCATACTCCAACACTCAACACATCCGCCCTCTCCATCCCTTGAGGTTTGACTTTTTTTAACCATCACCCCCCTACAGCATGTGCACATCTCTCTGGTGCATGAATACATTAGGATTTGAGCAGATTTCAAATGAAGCTGACTTATGTGGCAGCATCATATCCACGGGGAGAGGAACACAGAATTAATTGGGTCATATATGATTAATTGTCATCCGAGTGCTCGAGTTTCTCACTCCAAAAAGTACAAGAAACTGTTTGGTATGCGGCGCCCTGGGGAAATGTAGTAGACTTAACGTATACGTGTGGAAGCAGAGAGTATACTAAGTACACTACGTTTATCCAGGGGGGCCTGCTGCCTGCTGGACTGGAAGCAAGCATGAAGGAGAGGAAAGGACGACTGAGCTGCAGCTAAATGATGGTGACCTGTTTGTGCATGTGTCCTCATACTCCGGAGAGTGACTGATATGTTAAGTCGTTAAATGTTGCCCCATTTTTACCGGATACAGGATTTAAACCACTCGGCGATTCAGGATCGTCTTATTTGTGTTTTTTTGTTCCACAGGTGACTGAGACATTTCTGAATCACGTAAATGAAAGTTGATCTGTTTGTATCAGACACTTTAACCTGCATTGATGGATGCAGAAACAAACTGGGTTCACAGACAATAGTTTGGAAGTGAGATTAAAGGGATATTCCGGCACAAAATTAATTTAAGGTCAAACACACTGTAACACCGAGTTAGACACCCCTAGGAGAGATGAATGTTGCCGACTGCTTGCTTCTCTAGTTATTCCAACTTTAGTAACGACCACAGGATAGAAATACACAGCGGTCTGAGGAGCTATAAACAAACCTCGACCAAAACGTCACTCTATAGCCACAAATAATGCTCAGAACAGCACCTAACTTCATCCTAGCCACAGCACTAGCCATCAAACATCTTTTCTTTAGCAAAGAGACTAAACACAACTCATCTACTCTCTTCCAGCAGCCGTTTGTTAGTAGCAAGACCTCAGGCTAGTCCATTAAGGACTGCTGCGGGGTGACGCAGCTCAAGGAAGAACATTTATGATCATTTCTTTTTCATTTCCTTAAAGTAATAATCATCATATTAATAATTTTTTTACTGCAGACTCGGTAGTTCTTCTGTCTTAGCGTCTCGGTCTGATTGCATTTCCATGAAGAAATTATCATAAATGTTCTTCCTTGAGCTGTGTCACCCCGCAGCAGTCCGTAATGGACTGGCCCAAGGTCTTGCCACAAACAAGCGGCTGCTGGAAGAGAGTAGGTGAGTTGTGTTTAGTCTCTTTGCTAAAGAAATTAGGCAAAGTTAAAAAGATGTTTGGTGGCTAGTACTATGTCTGTGACCCTATATGTCCTGTTGATGAAGTTAGGTTCTGTTCTGATCATTATTTGTGACTATAGAGTGGCGTTTTGGTCGAGGTTTGTTTATGGCTCCTCAGACCACTCTGTATTGCTATCATGCGGTCGTTACATTCATCTCTCAAGGGGGTGTCTAACTCAGTGTTACGGTGTGTTTGACTCTAAATTAATTTTACGCTGTAATATCCCTTAAAGACCATGCAGTGACTTCCACTACAGAGTCATGTTACTTTATTTCAAATCTGGTCATTCAGAGTTAGTTTCAGTTTCTCCTGATCTCTGAATCTTTACAAAAATCAACACAAACTCAAAGTTTCTCACTGGAGCTTTAATATGTTTTTCTTAATGATGATTTAATAAGATTATTATGATTATTATTATTTTACTCCAGTGTGATAATCTGCCTGTGTTTGTTTGTGTTAGTTCTACAGGTGTTTCAGGGCATTCCTCAGATGCTCCACCCCCGAGCAAAGCTCCACCCTAAAGACATTTTCACGGGTGACAAAGACGCTCCGCACTTTCCGCCAGGAGAAGGAGCCGCACGTGTCCGCTCCCGCGCCCTCCACCGCCCAACCCACGCCAAACTCCTTGCGGAGAGCCAGTCAGGGGGCTCCATCTCCGTCAAATCACAGCTCTTCTGCATCCCACCCATCTGCTACCGCCGCTGCTAACAGCCCCAAACCCAAACTTGTTCTGGTGACTTACTACAGGGAATAAAATCAAAGAAAACAACAGCAGCAACTGCAAGAGGTGAACGTTTACAGAAAAGAGAAGGAGCTACCGGGAGCCGGGGCGCAGCTCTGCAATTAAGAAACAAATCCTCTTAATAGTAGAAAAGAGCGAGCGCAAAGTGAGCTCAGTGGGAATCTTAAATACAAGCAGGGATCTTCTAATCCCAGAGCAGGTTATTGTTGCTCTGTGAAGTCGGCAAACAGGGATTCACACAAAACGCCAGTCTTATCCTGCTTACCAGAGGCTCTGTATACAAAGCAGGGGACTGGGGCTGAGCAAAAGTGCTTCATGTTGAGACGACAGACTTTTTAGATGACAAAAAAATCCACAGAAATAGGTCAAGGTATCTGAAATCTGTTCTTTCCTATTCAGAGGAAATATTCAGGAACATTTTGGAGAAGCACAGCGTTCTTTGGTGGAGATTTCATAAACGGATGGGATTTTTGGTAAACAGGGCGATGGGGTATTTGTCTGCTTAATTGTATAACTACTGTTAGCGGGATTATTCTGTCTTTTTGGTTGAAGAAGTGGGTAAGCATTTTTCCCTGACCCCATTTCCATGCCTGATATCTGAGGATTTGATACAGAGTATTAAAGATTTGTTCAACAATTTTATGCAATTTAAAACTGGGAAGGTTTCTATTTTATGGCTTTATTTTCACTCCGCTGCATACAGGCCCTCTGCTCTCATGGCTGGGATCATTATGAAATCCTTTAAAGGGACATTTCACCACGTTATAAGGGACATGTAGGGATTTCTCTGTCTTAGGATGTCTTGATGTTTCTCTTTGCAAAGTGGAAACGTGGTTTTGTGTTGTCTCTTGATGTTTTTCCTTTGCTTATGTAACATAAATGAAACCATATCACCAACGGATCTGGATGTCTCACTCTTCTGTATACTTCGCCTGGAGCGTGTGTGTGTTTCACAGTGTGTGTCGGGCTCTTTGCTTTTGGCCGTATTTGTAAGTGTTGATTTTTTACATGAATTTTTAACACAGGCCTTATTTACAGTGAAGGGAGCAGATAAACACTCCAAATTACAGCCTTCGCCTCTGTGAGAAACAAACAGCAATTGACAAATTAGAGGAAGAATACGGCAGCTGATGGTGAAAACAAACACACAAACTCTCCTTACGTAGAGCCCAGAAAATATAGACACTCATCCGACAGTTGTAGAAACACCTCTTGAATCTCAAACATCACTCCTCAGTCATTATGAATGATGACAGAGACCATAAACGTATAAATGTTCAAGATTTTCACATTTAACAAAGAGCTACATGTGACGCAACATGAAGGAAATCCACTGACATGTCAATCTGAAATACTATAAAGCTGATATTTGGACTGTAGAAGCTGCAAGACATAAAGTTTAAAGGGATATTGCGGTCTAAAGTTAAGTTGGGGTCAAACACAACGTAACACCAAGTTAGACAACCCATTGAGAGATAAAGGTTGTCAAATGCTTCCTTCTCTAGTTATACCAACTTTAGAAACAACCGCATGATAGCAATACACAGCGGTTTACCATTCCACACACAAACCTTTACCAAAACGCCACTCTATAGTCACAAATAATGCTCAGAACAGCACCTAACTTCATCAACAGTACATATAGGGTCCCAGCCACAGTACTAGCCACCAAACATCTTTTTAACTTTAATTTAAAAAAAAAAGTAATAATCACCATATTAATCATTTTGCACTGCAGACGCGGTAGTTCTCCTGCCTTAGCGTCTTGGTCTCAATGCATTTCCATGAAGTAATAATCATAAATGTTCTTCCTTGAGCTGCGAAACTCCGCTGCACTCAGTGATTGACTCATCAGGGCTCCCCCACAAAAAAAGCGGCTGAGCATTATTTGTGACTATAGAGTGGCTTTTTGGTTGAGGTTTGCGCATGGAGACGTAGACCGCTGTGTATTGCTATCATGCAGTCGTTACCACAGTTGGTATAATTAGAGAAGCAAGGAGTCGGCAATGTTATTTCAACCACTGAATCAAATGCAAAGGTGCCAAAAGCTGCAGTTCCTGAAGCGGCCCCGAAGGTGAGTAAATACCCACTTAACCACATGTTAGATTCCCAAATTGAGTTCCAACATTGATAGCCTGAAACGAACACAGTTATAGCCTCTTCAGCTTCTCTTTGTCCACAACAATCAGTTGACCTTCAAACACTCTGTAAGACATGATGGGCAGAAGTTTATCCAGCTAATAGAGGGACTGTTTAAATGAGTCACTGGTAGGGCTGGGCGATAAACTGAAAATTTACCGATACTGAAATTTACGACAATAACCGACGTCATTTTGCCTAAATCGGTATATTCAGTGTCAAAAAAATAAATAAAAGTTGGTTTTGGATGTGTGTAGGTAGGCTGTGGTCTCATGTCCCTTTAAGACGCTGTCCTACGTCAGAGACGTGACTCCACCCCATTCAGTCTGTAACAAAGAGGGAAAGACAGGTGAGGAGATGGAGGACGGTTCAAAAGTTGTAGCGGCTGAAGTAGACAAGTTAATGTGGGAGGGGGTGAGCAGCTTGTGGAGTAGTTATCATCCATTTATTGTCATTGAGGTGAACTGCTCAATATATCGTGATATTGATTTGAGGTCATATCGCCCAGCCCTCGTCATTGGGTTCAAAAAGTTCAAAGATCTGCTCAACCCTAACCCTAAATCAATCTTTCCTTTGTTTTACTTGCATACATGAGAAGCCAGGGCAGGGAGAGCAGCAGCAAAGACCCCCAGATCAGAGCAGGTATCACAGTCAACCCACATGACGCTGGTAAAATCAGACAGCATTAAAAAAAAAATAAGAGGAGCCGGGGTGGAGGAGAAATGCAAAACAGTTTGCAGAGGAAGTGTTAAGAGTAGGCAGGTTTAAGCGTTTTAAACTGAGTGCCCATTTTGACATTTGCCAACTGGATGTGGAGCCAAATCAGCAGATGTACTGGAGGCTGAGCTTGACTTCTCCACCTGCCTGAAACGCTGCACTCACTTCTTTTAGTCATAGGCCATCTTTATCAGTCAAAAACAACCATATGCAGCCAGTATGGCAATTTCCAAGGCTTTCAGCTTGATGACAGCTCTTGGTAATGGACATACCTTTAATTCTCCGCCCATCCTCTGGGAGAAGTTGCAGTGAGATACAGATTTTTTTTGAGCTCTCCACTCTTAAGTGTCTGGGAAGTCTCTCTCTGACTCGGACAGAATGACACCTATTATCCTAAAGTGGTCACAAACACTCTGCCTCAGTTGTTGGCTCACTTGGCTCATCGATTTACAACAATCTTTAAGAGGAGAAACATGCTGCAAACGTAAAAAGAGAAGGTAGTTGTGAGTCAAAAACAAACACGATGGTGGAGATATCAAACTATGCTACTTTGGTCTTTTTCTCTGACTCATCAACAATAAAGCTGTTTCACTTAGCGCCCTCTACAGGTTTGGAGCAAAAATCTAATTTATTTTTTGCTTTTATCTTTATCTGCAGCTGCTTTCTTTCTCTGTGAAGTTTGGACTTGTATCATTTGTGTATAACCAGTGCTTTTGCGGTTTGTTTTGGCCTTTTGCATGTTGATTTTAGGTCATGTAATTTCTGCATTTTCAGTCAGTTCTCCAAATTAAGATTATTTAGCCGTTGCATATCGTTTGTCTTACTTTTCCTTCTTTAGAGTCACGTTTTTTTCTGGATGATCACTTTGGCGCTTTGGTTGTGGGTGGCAGCTGGCCTCAGAAGTCAAAACCTCCACTTTTTAATATTTAGGTCAAATGGTTTCAGTGCGAGAAGGATGTTTCCAAATATAATCCAAGGACCTAAAATTTGTAATTGATGAAGTAATTCTATTTTTATTATCCTGAGCAGAAGCAGAATAACCTGCTTTGACTGAATGAAGTTGTATGATGAGCAGCCTCTCTGTGCTGTGCCTGAAATGCGTGACAAACTTTGTAAATGGGCGGCATTTATTAAGCTTTGGGAAATTACCTTATAGCAGCATGAAACCTAATGTGTGTAATTTGGGTGAAGTGACCCTTTTCAGGGGTTTCTGTTTTTCTCTTTGAGTCTAATCTTTTAGGACAGGTCTGTATCAGGTGGTGTTTGAATAAGTCTGTCTGGGATGCCATTATAAACACTGAGGACCGTATCTGTTTTATCACATACAGAGATACAGATTATATAACCAAACAGATTAAATGTGGACTGATTATCAGCCCCAGACATCCAAACTAACTAACAGCAGCCTTTATGTAATGTATAATAAATTGTTGCTCTGTTCTGATGGAATGTCAGGACACCGAGTTCATTTTTAATCAAGTTACGCAGCAGTTTCAGCCAATAAACATCACAAATCGGAGTTTGCTGTCCAAACCCTGCTCAGCACTAACCGGTTATGTAATGTTTTGTATTGTAGGTGAAAATCATCCAGTGTTTTGCTAATTAAGAGTAAATTTTCATTCTGGGACTCTCGGACACCGCTGAAAACACTCATTAAAAAATAATCCCCAAAACAGTTAAAGAAAGTAAAATCAGTCACATAAAATAAATTCCTCTAATTTGATTTTGGGGGTGTTACTTGTTTCCAAAAAGACAGCTGGCTGTGCCTGAGAGATCTACATAATGAAGAAATACTGAATATGAGGGGCTTGGAGCTGGATAATTATCACCATGGTGATGAGAGTTATTATTACTCGACAGGGAGACAGCTGAGGGCTTTGAGACTGTTGAGTATCTCGATATTACATGCATGCTGTCTCCAGTCAGCCTCAGTCTGCCTGTCTTTCCTTTGTCAGGTCTCTTTCACCAGAGTTCAGTTTGTAGGTCATCTGTACGTGTCGCTCATTCCACCCCATAATTACATTACTTGCTAGGCGTTGAACAAAAGGGGCTACTGTGACATAGGAACAGAGGAGGGAGCTATGTTCAGTCACACATGTGACATTCGCTCAGCTGTTAATGACGTGCCCAACTTCTAGTCAGGAACATAAAGTTGATTATCCACATCAGGTCCGAACACGTGTGAGATTAAGTCTTATGTTTGACATCCAGTCCTGTATCACAGATTTTTCCCACGCATGGATTTACTCTGGCGGGCTGCCCAGGTATGTTTACAGCCGTCCGAGTTTGTCTGTTGGTTGGTTTTGCAAATTTCTTTATAATTAAAAAAAAAAAATCTACAGTCAACATTCACCGGCTGTGTTTTCAGATCTCAGCACGGAGGAATATGTGCAGACAGCTGGAGTGACCAGACCAAGGATTCCCCATGTTAAACACAGAATCAGTGGTTTTCAAACCCTACAGTGGGCTCCAGAAACCCACCAACCGACTGACTCCAGACCTGGCCCACTCACTATGGTGGTTCGTTGTGGAGTTAAAGCTCCTGTGAGGAGTTTAGCTTAAGATTTAATCCTGTTATACAGCGTTCACACTCCTGAATCGAGGAGCTCAATAAATGGTATACTTTAGAGTCAGAAATTAGCAGGATGAGATTTTTGTTAGAGGACACAACTGGAATATGTTCATACTGACCCAAGTGAAACATATAAGTGTCTGACCCAACAGGAGATCAGAGAAGAAGATTAACAACTCCTGGTACATCCCTTTTGTAACTGCATTGACCGCGGTACAACATCACTGTCTGAAGTTTTTAAACGGTGTGATAGGAAAGTCCAGTCGGTCTCGTTGCTGCTCTTCTACTTTGCAACATATTAATTCGATTGGATTCAACAGGCTGCGACTGCGAGTTGGACTTTATAAAACAGGAGCTGTGCTGTTAGTGTGACTTTATATCACATACTGCTTAATGGAAAAAGTCAACAGAGCAGCTACACAGGCGGAGGGAAATAAAAATGACAGGGAGGGACACACTGCTGTGTGTTTTAA